GGATGTCAGTTTTCAACAGCTACAAGCTGTGTTACGAGCAGGCGAGGATAGGGACTCACACCCCTCACTGTACTTCTTTGCACAGCCCTTTACAAAATGACAGGTCTCGGAAAATTGCTGAGGAAACCCTCCGAAGAAAGCAGCATGATTTGACGTGACACCGAGCCAACTTGCTTGGCCTTTGGCTTAACGATCTTCTCGAGCCGGGAATAAGCCTGCTCCGCAACTGTGGATCAGCAGCATAAGCATTCACCTGTGCGGCCGTGCCTCTGCTCGCATAGCCCAAGCCTGCGATTCAAGCGGCATCTGGCAAGAGTAAAATTGCGAATTGCTTTGCAACTAGCCTCGACATCTTCTGGACACATCGTGACCAAGGAGTCAGACACTGTTGCGGCCTGGAACTAACGATATCTTCACGGGGATGGCCATGCAGAAACAACCCGCAAATTTCTTCCGACTATGTTCAACACTCGATATTGCTGGATTCTCCTGGCGAATGGTGGCCGGAGCTCGCAAAACTGGGGCATGGCTCAGAAAAAAAGTTGCATCTTTTGAAGATGCGTAGAGAGCCAAGGATGCAAGTTCAACGTTGCATGTTGGTCACTGCTTCGCAGCCAGGCAACCTGTACAGTGGGCGACACCCATTGATCAGCAAGGTTTCCGAGAACTGTCATAAAGGCCGCCATGGGCCATTGCTCTCTTGTGGAGGTGCTCTGCACAAACATCTCATGGCCGTGGCCAGGCTCGCCAAGTGGCGACGGCACCAGGACGGCCGTCAACCAGCTCGAATTGGCCCTTCGACGCTGCCATCCTGCACGCCGCTCCAAGTTGAATGCTACTTGCAACGCCAAACGGACAAACCCTGTCCAGCCGAACGCCCTGCGCATGCCGGTTTTCGTCTTCGGCCTCAGTGGAAAACTGAAGGAGGTAGTGACGAAGCAATTTACAGCGCATGTGGCAAACAAAACTGCTTGCTCAGACACAAAACATGTTGTGTTGTTTTATCTGATCAATTCGGCTTCTTTCTCGTTGAATCCTGGGGTTGTGGTTTAGGGTTAGGGTTTTTTTGGGGGGGACGTTTTTTCCTTCTGCACTATCCGTAAAGTCGGAATGCTGAACGGCGGAGGCTTTGGGCCTGAGGCCAACCACCTGGACCCACAACCCGCTAAGAGCAGTAGACCTCAGTCCCCAGTCCCAGACGGCAGCACAGGCAGACTGTGGCTACCTGGTGGTACTCACAGGTGGATCTTCCCTGGGTAGCTGCCTTTAGACCGGCCTACCGGCCCTTGGGGATGGTTGGGGTATTGGCCTTTTGCTTCCACCTGGCCAGCGTCTTTGGTGCAACCCTGTTCGGTTGCTGTATTTGGGTGCATGCCCAAACGGACGTCTGCCTATCTGGTTCCGCTGGTGCTCCTCTTGGTCCCAGGTGGCCCGGCCTGGCATCGCAGGCTAGCAAGTGCTTGCGAGCCCGACATTCCGTGCCGTGAAAGACGACTGCAATCTTCCTTTGCGCCACGGAAAGGCCAAGCAAAAGCGCAGCAGGCCCAGACTGGCGAAGGGAAGGCGGGCGAAGGGAAGCGAAGCTGGGAGACCAGACCGCGACAGAACAGTTGCAATTTGGACATGTCTTCCGGCGTTAGCTACGGCACTACAGGCCATATCAACCAGAGCCACCGGGGCTCTCTGGAAACAACCTCACCTTGCTTTGGCGGACCAGACATCGCACAACAGAAGGCCAATCGGCTTTCCAGGCTGGGGAAGCGAATCAGCGGCGACACTCGGGCAAAGGAGGCACTCCACGAAGCCGCGAATTCCTGGATCGAGGTGCCAAAAGGGTCCAAGCCGATACGTGGAATATGGATGCGGGCCAGACCACCGAGCAAGTCTCACACAGACTTTCTCTGCTATGATCTGCTTTCTTTTCATCCCTAGCATGGATGTCGCCTGAAGGAATGCTTCCGCCTTTGACAACACCTCCCAGACGGGCCAAGGGTCCAGCACATGGATGTGCAAGTCGACAAGCTGCAGGCAGGCACTGGCGGTTTGTCGGATGTTCTCGCTCCGATTAAGGGTCATCTGCCGCAGGAGCAGCCATTTTCGACACGATGCGCACGCTGATGGTGCTGCCATGCCCCTACATGAATGTGCATCAGGACTCAGAAGTGCATCAGGAAATCGACAATAAATTGTGAGTATGCCTGACCCTGCGTCGACTTGCTTACGGGACCGTACATGCCTTTGGTGTAAGTAGCTCTTCTGAAAATTTGTACAGACTTGGGCCTCCGCCGCCGGGTGTGAGTGGATAGGGTATTGGATTTCTGGACATTTCTGCCCGGTAAGCTTCAAGCCTCAAGCTTGTCTCCTCTGTCTTGCCAAGTGTACCTTGAGCCTCTCCACTATGCACCGGCAGGCGGAGAAAATGCAGGGCTCCTCCTCTATCTCACCGTAGTGGATGGAGCCATTCTGACTATTCAGGTTAGGATTGCTACGGCCGGAAGAGGTCTGTCCAGCGGCTGGCAGCAAGTTTCGGCTGCTGAGCTCTACGCTCCGGGTTTCTTGAAAGCCGTCCTATTTTCAACATTGGACCCCTCCCGCAGACTCCATCCGCTTCTGCTATGTGTCAGGTTGTTCCTGTTGGGCATTCAAGTAATGTGCTCTTGCCCAAACCCCAGACAGGCGGCAGCTTTGTTTGGTCCCCGCATTGAGGACCCGCCTTGGGAACCATGTTCGATCACCTTCCTTGCTTACGAAACGATGCATGGGGGTTTGCTTTATGACTGCGAACTGGTTGCCATGGGGATGCCGCTGGAGATTACTCTTCCCAGTCTCCCATCGCAACAACCCATTTTTACACCTGTTGCCGCCACTTGGGACTCTGTCTGGGCGCTACTTGCAGCTTGCGCGTGTCTGGCTCTGCTCGCGCCAAGCCACTTGTGGTGAAGGAGCTCTTTACATCGGTTGAAGGACTTCTGGGGAGGTGCCTTTGTAGATGGTTTCACCTTGTCGGACCAGCTCCTTGTTCCTTCTTAATGTGGTGCCTGGTCAGAGGTCTGGGCCTGGGCTGGACACGGCAGCATACGGGAGGCAAACACCGTCTTGATCCTGCGGATGTCGGCTCGGTTTCCAGAATTTGATACCCTTACATTCGCAACTTTGTGGCCATGAATCGCCCAGCCCCCAGCCCCCATCCCCAGATGAGAATGATGGCGATGATGCTGTCGACGTCTGTGGAAAATGACTACTGGTCTCGCTTCTTTGCTTATTGCTTGATGTTCTTTGGTCGAAGCCTGTATCGACCGTTGTCATTCTATGCTAAGTTTTGCTTGGTTCGTTAGAAGTGAGCATGAGAATGTGGTTGAATGACTTGCAGTAGCAAGCGACAAGAGGTGCCGATGGTTATCATGATCGCCATCTTCGTTATCATCATCATAATGATCATCACTATCGTTGGCTTTGCAGTTCAGGGCAGGTCGGAGTTCAGTGGAACAGTATCATATCCAGAGGCCCAAACCCCAAGCGTGTATTCGTACATGACACTGCACGTACATATGGTTAAACTACGTAATATGGATTTAAGTACAAAAGATGATATAGTCGGAGCAAAGCAGACATAGACATAGCAAGATCTAGATATAGAAAAACATATAGCCATAGACAAGGACATGGAAATAGACATAGATATAGACACAGACATAGACTTGACATAGACATAGGTATGGTGTACAATTGCGTGCAAATGACCAAGCTAAACATCAGAAACTGTCTGTGCTGAGCAGCAGGAATCAAAGCTGCATGGCTGGTGCCGCGAGAGCAGCACATGTGACTCCTTGGCTGCAGCTGGGTTCCAAGACAGCTGGGCCAATGCAGATACGCCAGTCTCTATGATTGCATCCAGGTCACAGGAAAAACTCGGAGAAGCCTGGCATCGCCAGATCGATGGTGATGCAAGCTGGAAAATCGGACATCCGTGAGCGAGTGAGGGAGGAGTCAAGGGGACCTTGTTCGTTCCGGTGCAATACCGGCTGCGGCCAAGAATTGAAGCTGAGACGGGAGAGGAGCGGAGTGTGCAGAGGAATGGGAGCAAATGACGACGAGGTGAAAGCGAGGGAAGCAACTACGAAGGAGCGAGGTTGCCAGGGCGGAACGGAGCAGGGAAAGGAAGATGACGGAAAACAGCAGGGCGGCAGGTAGGAGGTAGCCGTCTTCGTGTCACCCACCTAAACAAAGCCGCCAAGCTCCAGCAAGCGCCGTTGGGTTCGAGGGCTGGTATTGAGGGGTTGCACTTTGCTTGACAAACAAAGAGAGATCAAGCTCAAAGAACGACATCGAGTTCTTCGCCGAATAATCCTTCGTTTGCTTGTTCCTTCTTTCCTGCCTGGGCGTGCCTCGCATCTCTGAGTTCTTGCTCGAGCGGCTTTCGTCTCTCTTGCATTTAACTGCTGAGTAGCACGCTTCGAAGCAAGGTCTGATCAGTGCCGAGCGGCTCGGATAGGCGGCACGCGTCGGACCTGGGCTTGAACATTGATTCGGAGTCGTGTGCGGTTGCCGAAAAACATCTGAGTCTCTGAGGTCTGTCTTGCTTGGCCCGAGACTGGCACGCGTGTTTTTGCTGTCTTCATCCTCCTTCGTCGGTAAAGCAGACTATGAGATTTTACACTTCTGCACACTTTTGCACCACATGGGCCCAATCGAGTCTAAACTGAGCACTGCCACGGAGAGGTCTTCGGAAGTTGATGAAACGATGAACGAAAAGACGCTCAACTCACGACGTGTGTTCTGCGATTCAGCTTTAGGAGTTAGGATTAGGGGGACCCTTGGGGAGGTACCTCTCAATAAGGTCCCTTTAAGCGAGCCATAAGTAGGGCCGGGTTGAGAAGGGCCGCCTTGAAGGGGTTTCCCTAATACTACCTAGGAAGCTTGAGTGCATCGGCCCAGGATAGCAAAGAAACAGTCGATTCCTTCTTTCTGACTTGGCCAGTTTGCAGGATTGGTTACAGGAATCATGTCAGGATCAGGAGTATTGCACGATCCGGACCTTCCCTGGGGGGATTGATTATTACTTTCCAAACGGCATCAAACACCTGAATATGGACAACTGAAAATCTCCGCAAATAACACTAGCGCCGACAACGGCAAGCATGCTTGGATCCAATGAAAGCAGCCCACTCTCATGTTTCTGAATGTCCTTCGCGCGCAACTTTCGGCGCTCCTCCGAAAGCTCGTCGCGCAACTCCTGCAACGAAATCTGCGGAGCCCGCATAAGCTCAGTCATCGACCCATGAGGGTGCGTATCAGCATCACATGCTGTTCCAACACGCACAGGCTTTCGACGTCCTGCACTTCCTGGAGAAATTCTGAATGCCGTCGTGCTGCTTTCAGCGACATGGATTCAACATCCTGCCAAGAAGCTTCACAGAGAAAGCTAATGCAATTGAGAAGGAGAGAATACGTCGCGTGCTGGCTTTGCACTTCATAGCATCCTTGGCTTGCTCAATGTGAGCTCGGCTTGCTTGCAGCAGCTCTGCGCGAGCTGTGTCAGCCAAGCTCTGTGCCTTGGTCTGCAGCAGTCTGGAGAATGCTTGACATGGTACTGTGGAGGGGAGCAAAGAGACTTGTGATTGCAACCACGGTCCCTCCAAAAAGCCTATCATACACCTTATGTAGCCTTACTTACCCAGGAACTAAAGGCCTTCTCATATGGTAGTTGTGACAGGCATGGTGTCAGGCAGTACATTGGGCGAGAAGCGTTGCGCCAATCTTCTTGCAAAGATTCACATCTCTGGCGTTCCTTGAAAGGCATACGACCGCACAATTTCGGTGAATGCCGTCAGGCACATCATTTGTAATCAAGCCCACTGCCTGCCGCAAGCTGTTCTCTAATCGACTGACTTCCTCAGCTTTGGAGAACGACAGCTGCTGTTCGACCTGAGAAGCCGCAAAATGGAAAGCCATGTGAGCTCCAAGTGGGCAGCAAAGGGCCCCACACTAAGCTCTTGCCTGAGCTTGGTCATTTCTGCTTGTGCAACTTCCTGCCTCAAGAAAACACAGACTCGTAGAAACCCCCCTACGGCGCTGCCGCACGGCACGATGCTCTGTCCGGTGCCTCCGAAGCTCGGCATCCGCACTGCTCAGCGCCTCTGACAAACCCAAACGCAAAGAGAATCGGCGCTGGACCCAGTTTTTTTTTCTACGGGGAAGGAGGCCGAGATGCGGCTTCCAGTCAGGAGCGGAAGAACACTTGTTCACGATGTCAAAAAAGTTGATAACAGTATCCACCAAACTCGTGGATGCACACAGGAGGCCTCCGATTTGGCTTTGAGATCTTCCTCAGCCTTCCTCAAGGCGGCCGCAAAGTGATCCTTGTGGGCCAAGGTATGCAAAAGCAATGCCTTGAATTTTTAATTGGCCACGGTCTGAGACTGAGCCGTCATAACCAAGCCAAGACTCCGAGGCCTTTTTTGCCTCCGCAGCTGTTTCTTCGGATTTTTCGAGCTTGTCGACCATCTCAGAGCACTGCCTCCACTAGTGCGTGCGGAAGGCCAGCGCTGGAATCCCTGACCGGCCTAACCTTCCAATCTCGAGTCCTGCTTAACTGTTATCAGCCGTCACGGCTGGTGACGTTGTGCCGCAGCCAGGGAGGGTGACGTGGGCTGCCGCCCGAAATGGCCAGTCAGCTTTCCGAGAAGTCTTAAGGGGACCCTTTAGAGGCCTTTACCTTTAGTTTCATCTTCCGAATTCCCTCAGCCTCTGAAGTCTTTCTCATGCGACTCCTGAGTTTCCAGAATCGTACCCAAGAGCATTCATTGGCTCACACACATCCCTAAGAGATCCCGTCACGAACTAACGCCAGAAAATGCCTAGCAAGATCCCGAGCCTTTCGGATGCCAGCTGGGCATCCTGCAGGCCTGGATTAGCCCAAGGTACCAACACCAAGATGAGAAAGCTCTGACGAAAGTTGAGGGTGGTGCTCGTCTTGCACTCCTCGCGGCCACTTTGCATGGCATGCATGAGCTGGTGGACCTCATCCAACGCTGCTGTCGACGCTCGCCGGGCTGCATCCAATTCGGATGTCCTGAAATGTTAAAGTAATGCGAAGGAATTGAAGATGTACTGTCTCAGTCTGCACTACTCTCGCAGTATCTCGCAGTCACATCACCTTGCCCACATCGAAGAGCCCGTTTCAGACAAGATATGCAGCCAGGAGTCATCTGCGAGACACGCCTATCTTGTGCTGCCTTTTCACTCTGCATCTCGAGCAACTCCTTTCCGAGATTTCGGTTGGATGTGAAGCAGTGAGCACACCCATTTCTACAGCCACAGGCTAGCTTCTGCTTGAACACGGCCCAGCCTGGAGAGGGTTCTCTGCCAGAGAGCCGCGCTTCGGACTTGAGGATCCGGTCACAGCAACGCTTTCCCGCTTCACGTCCTTGCCCCGAGGCACTCCCCAAAGCTGACATGGCCTTGTCCTTCATCCAAGTCGCGTGACCAGACCCAAGCTTGCCTCGGAGCGACTCCCAACATGCAGTGCACTAGCTAAATGTCAGCTTGCGCCTGATGCCAAACTCTTCCTCCGGAGCAAAATCCGTCCATTCGCATCGGTTGCCTGCGACGGGCTTGAAAAGCACGGCATGCAGCAAACAGTAGTCATCCATGATACAAGGTCGTGCTCCCTGCTACGGGCATCCTGGCATGCTGCATCGATGCAAGTGCCTGGACTATGTTTTGCGGTCGAACGAAAAGACCATGTTGAGGTGCGCAGTTGAAGTACTGCTTGTCCTGCTGCAGCAACTCATGTGACAACGACTGCAGCAAGAGTAGCAGCATCTGCCTTCACCGATCCGTCATTCTTTCCATATGGGCCATCAAGTATAACACCAACCCAGTTGCCCGGAGCAAACTCCGTCTCCCCAGCGAAACCAACCTGACAGACGCTTTGTGACTAAAGATCAGCCTGCACGCCAATTATCAGAAGGGCCACCTTTCCCTCCAGCGTTTGGCCAGCCAGGGTGAACACAATGCGAGTACTCAAAGCAGGCAACTGAGCCTGTGCCTGGCAAGTTCACTGAAGGCTGGCTTGTTGGTGAAGCATCATGTTGAATCGACCTTTCTACTTTTCACCCAGCCCTGCCACGGTGATTTCTGCAAGGCCTTCAAGGCGTCATCGGAACTTTGACCTCCTGAAAACGAAATGACAGTGTGGCAAGGTTTGGCAGACGTCCAGCTCGTCAACAGAGCTCAGTCCTTGCGCCATTCCGCAGACATGCAGGCCCAGGAATGCAGCTGTGTGTTGGGAAGGCTTCCGAAGCTCTTGTTTGGCTTGCATTCTTTGCGGACAAGCTCGTTCTTGCAGTCGCAAGTTGTGTGGAATTTGTGACCTCATGCTATCTCATGCTGAGCCCAGCTGATTCGGCCAGTCCGAAGGTTCGAGCAGCAAAGCCCGTGTCAGACATGACAAGAAGACACTCAGCGAGAAACATGGTTTCAATCTCAAGGTCAGCAGAGGTTCCGTTCCTACTGGGTCACCTCGTACCTTGGTGGAGCGTTCCCATCAGTTTCACTTTGAGCCGCACGTGAAGGGTTGCTTTCGGGATTCTGGGGCCACATGGGATGCGACCTCTGCACGGCAGGCAGCATTGGGATTTTGGGTAGGGTTTCTAGGACGTGCGCAAAGCTAGTGAACAGACGTTGGCAGCCCGAACATGTTACATGACCTTCAACACCAGCAACGGCACATAACGGCACACTTCACCTCTTGTGATGCCCTGCCTGCTTGTCGTGCTCTCCTGTTGCCAGGTAAGCGGCCGTCAACAACTTTTTGACCTCCATGAGATAAATGTTTTTTCATGTGCAGTGGCCGGGGATGTGACTGGAACGGAGGCCTCTGGCTCTTTGCGAAGCTGTGGCGGTGCCTCGCATGTCAAACAAAGCCCACATTCAACAAACCCCAAAATCAAAAAGAGTGTGCTAGAATGTGCAATGCGGCACTGTGCGACACCACGACATCAATGAAACGATCACGACATTTGATCCAAAACTGGCAACAGCATTTCTGCATTCTACACAATATAAATCGGCAGAAACGAACGTCTTCGAGTTTCGTCGTTTCACATGAGCTTGGCCGACGTGTTCGTCGCTTCTTCCACCTTCGCCTTGACGCTTTTTGTTTGCTTTTCCTTTTCGGCCACGCAATCCTCCGGGGCTGGAGGCCGGGGCGGGCCATGTAGTGATGTGACCTTTCGGAGCCTGTCCCCCGGGCCGGGGACCTCTACGAGCGGCTTGTCGGCGGATGTCCGGACTTCGGCGAGTGCTTCGTCGGTGCCATCTGCGTCTCTTGCACGAATCGGAGGAAGCTGTACTTCAAACCCCTGCTCCCGGATTCCCATGTCTACGAATTCGGAGGATATCGGCTGGTCAGGGAAGTGCACTTGCGTCCCCGTTGCGGTGACTTTCCTTGGAAGTTGAGGCCTTCGGAAATGCATTGATTTGGCAGACTCGGAGAAATTGCGGCAAGCGGTTGGCTCGAAGCTTCCCAAAGTCGGAAGGCCTGCCTTCTCGAGGACCGTCACGGCTTGTGAAAAATATCGCTCGTGCACCAGGCACTGCGCAAAGACATACACCTGTGAGTCTCTGAGGCTGTGCAAGCAGAGAGTCAAAGGCCAAGAAATGTTGAAGCCGTTCCAAGCCCCATGCCCCTGCAAGATGATCGGGATTAATCCGGACGCATTGCTTGTACAATTCTCTAGCCTCGCCCAGATGATGGAGTGCCCTCCCCTCAGCTGCATCTCATGTGCCAGATCCCTGCCGCCTCGCTAAAGCGGCCTTGGGCATGTTCCATTCTTCCAAGTTGATATTGGACCTCAAGAACGTGCCAACGGAACAAGTCTCTGTGAATTGATTGCTGCTGCATCCGAGACCATTGCTTCAGCGACGACCTGTGGCACGTCGCTATTGTCCGAAGCCCTGTCACATAACGCTCAATGCTCAGCAATAAATTCCCTACCGGAACATGGGTCAATTTCATCGCTGGGCTGCGATGGGCCGTTGGCAATTCATTGGAGTCCTGCATGCTAAGTAGGCATGTTCTGCTCGACGGACGCGCACACCTCTTGTTCGCCTTCAAGTTACTAGTTTGACTGTGAAATCTCTGAAAACTGAAGTGTTTGCTTGCGGCCGCGGCTGATGTGTCAATCTTGCTGGGGTCTCGGTAAGAGGCTGCGGGTCTGGCTCCGTGGGCCCCATGGGCCGCATGGAGCTTCTTGTGACACTGAGTCGACTTTCAAATGGTAAGTAAGCTGTTGCAGGGTTCTGGCGAAGGCCCTCGTAGAGCGGCGCATGCCCACCGGGCGTCCGGAGCAAAACTAGCCGGTGAAAGTGTCGAGCCTCTAATGCCTCAAGTCTCTTCGGCTTCTCGGCCCCAAACAACGATTCAACAGGCCAGCAAAACCCCAAGGATCCGTCTCACCACAACAGTGACCACAATCCTGCCTTTGGAGCAGTTTCTTTGCCAGCTTCCAAGCATCAGGGAGAGCCTGGCCAAGCCATGCAAAAACAGTTGCGTGCTGTTACAGACTAACCCTCTAACTGAACTCTTTGCAGAATGCAAGCCACCTCACGCGACTCTAGTTCGCTCGGTTTTGTGAAATGCACCTCCACCTAGTCCACCGGCACCACCAGCATCACCACCACCGACCCCGGTGAGAGTACCACCAGCCACCAATGCAGCAAGGCCATGGGCAAGTTTCACCAGTACTGATGCCACCCTGCCACAGCAACTGGTCATACGGTCATACTGCGAGATTTCAGATTTCACAGGGCCCCATGCATGCAGACTGGTTTACAAGTGGCCGGGGCTCTTCGTGAACCATAACAGCGGAGGAACGAAGCTTGAACGCAACCCTTCTACATGGGGCATGGGCCTTGCCGGTCAGTGCTTCCTGCCGATGGATAATCTTGATCTAAACCTTTCCCTGGTCCTTGCAGTGGGCACACTCCGATCACGTTTATGGGGTTTCGCCCTGTTTGGGGACGCTCAGATTTTGTTCCTCGACTAGAAATGTCGAGGTGACGTGCAGCTCTTCATGCCAAGGAATCGAGTGGCCTAACGTCGTGTGCGAAGAGCATCCACCTTCAAACAGCCACGAATACTCAGACTCGCGCGTGCGATTTAGACGCGTCCTGTTACTGTGCGCAACTGCTTGTCTTCGTCGTGTCATGACCACCCGAATCTGCAGGGGCCTCACTTTCTGCAGTAAGTTGGTGTGCCCCGGGTCACGCCCACACAGAACAAAGGACAGCTGGCAATGTCAATGTCGCCGTTGGTGCCTCTGCTCTCTGAGACGTTTGTGTCGTATGAAAGTGCGGGCCGTTCCGTGGGCATGCTTGAAGGCACAGCAAAACTTGGAAGCCTTATGTTAATCAATCCGTTCGGCACCTTTTCTGCAACAACTGTGACTGAATGAAGCTTGAACACGACCCTTCTACATGGTGCTATGGTTGGCCTTGCCGGCACGTGCTTCCTGCCAAATTGCGACTGAGTTCTCAAAGCACACTTGCACAGACTCTTCCAGCACGGCCCCTCCTGCAGACCACAACTAAACGAATGGTCAGCAGCTCGACATAAGACCTAAGTGCACCGCGCAGCCCATCATGATGACAACGGCTATGACAAGCATGATGCACATGATAAGCATCAGGGTAGAATCACTGAGCCGGCAACTGCGGGGTGAGTCCTTAGCGCGCATCACTGTTCAATGACGTCACAAAAACCTCAAAGCTCCCACGGACAAAGTTGGCAAAGCTGTTTCGCAGGGTCCGGCCTAGCTCGTACGCATAAAACATAACAACCAGATGACACCGGCTAACCAACTTTGCAAAAAGTTTGGATTCAACACGTGCCTGGCTGTTGGTTTCACTTGTTTTTGCGCAATTCTGGGGTCGGCAAGTGTTGTTCGTTGCAACACCCCGAACCGTAGAATCGTTCAACTGTGGTTGTGCAGTTTTTGGATTGGCGCATCTTTGCCGACAAACCCGGCACGTTGGCACAGCCTGTCAGGCACTGATTGTCTGTCTCGAATTGGAAATGGTCGCGAAAGGCCACTGGGGAGACTTGCTGCCCAGGACTGCCTTGAAGAGAGAATTTAGATCGCCTCAAAGTAACATCGTGCCCAGCGGTGCCCAATGCAGAGCACGGAGGTGCATTTGAGCACCTTGTTGCCCGTAAGCCCACAAGCAGCTGGCTGTAACCTCAACCTCCTAATCTAAAATCAGCGCAGAACCTGCTCACACTTGATCTGATGCCAAGTGCGACATACCGGCCAAGCTGTACCTCTGAAACTTTACCTCCCAACGCCGACACTGGCCTATGTGTGTCCTAGATGCTCCTGGTTGCCCACTGGGCAGTCAACACCCGGTTGAATTTCGTCTCATGAGGTTCATTCTGATCCAATGTCTTGCTTCGAGCTATCCGTCAAGAAACCGCTGCCAGACGAATCGTCTGCACCGCTGCTAGATTCAAGACTTCGAATAGCAATTGCCTGAACTGAGTGGTTGGCAGTCAAGACACGTGCGAGCGCACTCCGAATCTGTACGACACCGGAGTTCCCATATCGGAATTGCCCGATGCATGCTTTGAGGAAGGATTAAGGATCGCGCACTCAGCCTGGACTCGCGACACACCCGATGAAAGAACGTTTTGTTTTGTTCGCTATGCACACTATGACGTTGATTGATGTGCGACGGAGAAATGCGCACTTGTACAGCTGTGCTGCCAGCCTTTGTTGCCACGAGTTCTTGTTACAGGAGGAACTCACGGTCTGAAGACATTGCTAGATTGTGAAATTTCAATGCTGTTGGTGCACTGTCCACCGTCGGGCCGTGTCATTGCTGCTTCAATCGACTAAGATGTGCTTTTGCTTTTGCTGAGCTTTCTGGTGAAACCAAGAGCTGTCAGGTCTGATGTACAGGTCTCTGCCAAGGTCTCTCCCCCAACATGACCTGATCGGCCAAAGCTGCTCGATCAGTTTGTGCCCCGTTCAAGAACATGACCGTGCGGCCCCGTGCGGAACCACAGGTGGCCCGGGCCTGTCCCGCGGCAAGCCACGTGTCAACAACAATCTAGGCTTGTATCGTTTTTCAAACTCGCTTCGTGTAACGTATTCGCAGGCCACATCTCTGTTTAAAAATTTATGTCGAATGCGACCAAGTGGCGGATCGGCAGTCATGGCCTGTGCCATTTTCTCAGCAGCACGTTGCTTTGCTTCGTTGCCCTGGCATTGCAGAATCACTCTTGAACCCATCTGTCGGTCACTATCTGAAGGGCCACATGCGCTTGCATTCCATTCCCTCATACAAAAACGGCAGCAAGAGACGAGGCATCCCAAAACCCGCCTGGCCCGTCCTGGACTCCAAGTAGGCCAGGGCACACAAGGCTTCGACGTCCTTTGCGTCGGCAGCCACCTAAAAAGCAGTAACTTTAGCTGTCACCTGTCCACAACCATCAGGGCTCGCACGATGCGCAGCGCTGTGGAAAACCCATTTGCTAGTGCACCCACAGAGCAGTTGGCATCATGTTAGTTTTCAGAAACTGGTTCTGGAAAAATCTGCATTGTGCAAAGCACTGCCAGACTTGTCCGTCGTCTGACATGCCGTTGCTTTATGATGCCGAACTGCGCAGGAAGCCTGTTTCTTCATTGTCAGCGTCAAGCCCTCAACCAAACTTCACAGGCCTCTTGCACCATCTATTATTCATCGAAATGAAAGACATCAACACCAAGAGGTGCAGAAATACAAATGGATGATGGATTGGTACGACGAAGAACGTCTACATACAAAGGCTTTTCAGCACGCATCGAAGTTTACGTGTAAACGACACAGCTGGCGGGGTAGACAGCTGATTGTACACGAGCTGTCACGAGCTAAGTTATTGAAGTTGCGATGTTGATTGGGTTGAAAAGTGATCATGGTCCCTTATTGTTGTCGGTTGTGATGTCTGTCAAGCTGTGTCGTAGCCTGAGAGTAGGACAATACTCCACCTTGATTCATCCGATACACTTGGTTCCATGTTAAGGGACCTCTCCCGGGCGATGATCGCGATACTGATTGCTCTTGAATGGCATTCCGCCTCTTTCTTGTTGGATTGATGATCTTGGGGATGTTTTCAGTTGCTTTTTGGATGGTACTTACCTTTCTGTAGACAACAATCGAAACAACTTGCTGCCCGTCTGAAACCCCCTCGACTGCAAGAAGGCTTTCTTATTGCAGAGGTCACGAAAGATGCGCTCCAGGATGTGCATACAAGCGCCAGATGAGTGTGCCTGCTTGATCCCATGGTACAGCGCACCCTGGATAAGCCCATGCCTTGCAAGTATGCGCTCGTCGAGCAACTCGCGAGGATCCTCACGACATGTTTCAGCATTAGTTGTGGTCTTGAAAGAACTGGGACATTCACCTCCTGCTTTGTTTGCAGTTGCATTTTGACAAACCGCAGCAGTTTTCGGGCATTTTGGTGTCAAGTGGTGTTGTCCCGTATGAACGGACTTGCGCCACCTTTGCATGAAGTTGACTACGGCATATTTGCTGAACCATGGCCGAGTGACCAAGAACTATGCATCATCCTTGCGACGCATGGCGTTTTGTTCAACTCCGCGGAAGCGACAGGCACTCTGATTGCATCTGTATGACGTGAGGATGAGCTTGTTGAATTTGGAAGAAAAAGATGGTTGACAGTGTTGCGGGGGGTTGTGCACAGCAAGCTGTAACACGGGCTGAAGCAGTTGCCCTGTGCAGGCGACAAAAGCCGTGCACGACCTGACAATTGCTGTCGATGCTAAAGCATGTTGTCCAACGCTTTCGTACACATGTTCCTTTTGCTCTCTTGGCTTGCGAGAATGCTGATGGTTCGGGCCGCATCCAAGTCCGACGATCGCAGCGTGAGCACGTTTTACTCACTAAGGTCACAAGAAAAAACCTCCGGAAAGCAGAAGGCTGATGCTGATGCCCTTGCTGGGGCTGTTGCTTTGGCGCAATGGGCAGTAGCCCAAAAACACTAAGATTCCTCCGCAAAGCGGCAGCTTGTGAGCAAACCGATGGGCCTAGAACCGCTCCTTCTGAGTTGGTGAGGGATTCCCCATTGCCCTCTCCGACCCATTTCCGGACTCACCTTGCCGGGTAGTGGCCGATGCTTTGGTGTAAAGTGCGATTTAAATGGCTTGATTCCGATGCAGCTCCAAAGCGACCTTGTGTGTGCCCGGGCGGGCAGATCAAGCCAGTGATTGGGATAGGTGCTCATCGCATGTCACGCTATCCAAGTTTGAAGCCAGCAGTTGCTTTGTGAGCCGTGCCGTAGTAGGCAGAGACGCGTCCATCGCTGCGAGGGGTTTCAGAAAAAAACATGTCGCTAAATTGGGCAGGCATCGATAACCTTTGCTTGATGTTTGCATCATTTACCTTTGGAAAAATCCATCTGTCTGCCCATGTTCAGAAATACGTATACGAATTTCTGTCCGCATGAAATGCATGCAGATGCTCTATCCATCCATGCATGGCTCTATCCGACTCTATCCATCCATCCATGCACCAATCTATCTATGTTCCTTTTCTGCATTCTTGTACCACACTTGATGAGGATGCCACAAAGTGCAACGCTACTGCACCGAGCCTTCTTTGCTTCAAGTCATTGCTACGCTCAGATCTAATTAAGGGAAATGCAGACACTCACAAGGCCGCAGCTACGCCCTGAAGAGCGTTCTTCGCCTGCTGGTGTCGTCCCAGACCTCGTTTTCAGGAGCCAATCGTGCTCAAGCATTTCACATTCTCTCGTACCAGACGCTGCGCTTCATGGTTCAAGAGAATGTCCGGTGGAGGCCCGTCTTATGGACTTCAATTACGACGGGAATCCAAACCATGACTCAGGCCTGATCACTGAAACTGTCCGGTTTCACCATTGGCAAATGTGTCACTACGCGACAGCCATGCCGACATGATGCACCATGATGTGCCAGGCTCGTGCGGGCTCGCTTCCGTTCACTAAGAAGGGAGCCAGCAAAACAAGTCGCAAGCGCAAAGCGTACCTGCAAGTAGCATGTCACAGTCGTAGAAGAGCCGACAGGCAATTTATCCAGAAGCACTACTTAGTCTCCAGCCTCTTTGATTGCATTCAACTGTTCTCCTTCTTGTGGGGCATGTGGAGCTGCTCGCCGCAGCACTTTTCTGAAACATTCCAGAGCCTCATCAGCAGTCGCTACAAAGCAGAAAAGCGCAGTCACACTGACACAGTTCCTAACTTTGATACTTTGCCATCTCCACACAAGAAGCCTGCTTCCAGTCACGTCGGCTGGCCCTGACACAAGCCTTTCCCATGAGAGCACGAGGAGACGACCTCAACAAAGGCTCAAGCGCTATATACAAATGCGGGATGAGGAACCATTGCTGCAGAGCAATCATGCGTGTTTTGATTCTTAGCGCACGATCACTGTCAGCACCCGAAACAAATCCAGGACCGGAACCTTTTGAGCTTCAAAGCAGCATCAAAAAGGTTTTCCTGGCGATGGTCGATGGGCTGCATAAGACAGCGAGTTGTGCCATCACAAGGGCGCACTGCTCGCACCAAGTAATTTCCAATCTCCGGTCGTTGAGCCTATGTCGAACATCTGCAGAGACACTCAGACAACACGACACCTTGGAGCGAAACTAAGCATGTTGCCAGGATGTGCCGTGCCAAGCATTGATACCCTTCCAAGGTGAGGAAGTCCTGCAACAACCGTGAACGCAATCCTCCGACTTTCTGTATTAGTGGTACTTTAGCGGCTCAGTCCGGGTTCGTTGGCAAAGCACCCCGTCTGCCCTTGGCCTCCGCAACCCCAAAGGCGCCGCTTCAAGCAGCAATTGAGAAGATCGGCTCTGCACTGCACCACTCAGGCTCTGCAGGAAATCAGCGAGGGCATACAAGTGACTGCATGAGCTGAAAGGATTTGAGAATGAGTGCACCTTGTCTAGAAGAGATGTGGCACGCTGAAGGCATGCCTGCCCATGACGAGTTCATGTGTCGTCTCTGCCAACTCACCCCTGCTAGCCAAAGTCTACCAAACACCTTGCCTCAACCTCCTTGTCGAGAGCAGATGATCGGGCTGCTTTTGCCATGTTGGCACGCCGCGGCTTGCGAGTCGTGAGCTACGTCGCATGTCACGTACATCTATCGCCCTGGTGCTTCGTGATCTGTTGTGTCACGTATCTTTGTCTCACATTCGAAATCTGCCTATGCCGCGTGCTTCCGGCGGATAATCTCAGGATGGGAATGGGGCTTTTGCATGAAAGAGAAGGCTGACAACGAACTGAACCAAAAAAAGGCAAGGCTTGACTGGTCGCCAAGGTGAGATCCCGGACAGCCGAGCCCGTAAACAACAGCATCAGATCCATGCTACGTAGCAAGCACAAATGACCGGCATAGCCGCACTGGACTCCTGTGATTTTGCATATTGCAACGTTAACATCAAGGTTTTTGTTTAAATCGCAATGCTACACAGATCCACTCTGGGATCGAGTGGTTTTTGAAATTTGCAGTGCATCATCTGTAGATCTCATTTGAAAAAAAGTAGACCGGTATCATCTCAACTCAATGCAGCCTTGCACAACCGACCATCAGCGTGAGTCGTGAGCGGCCGGTGACCGGTGCACACCGTTATGACTGTAAAGGAAAAACATGTCCAGCAAGATGTGTTTGGTTGTACGGCGGCATCATGCAGCTTGGAGTTTGAATCCAAGCGTTCAGCCGAATTCAGCCGTGCGCATGACCGCTGGCTGTGCGAGATGATGCAGGAGATTGCAGGCGTCTGTGTGTTCAGCGATGCACATGACCACACACACACACACACACACACACCCACCGTCACAGACACATTCCTTGCAGCTAGAATAAGGCAAAAAGTTTCGGCAAGCAGGTTCTAGTTGTTCCGACATACCGACGTATACCTGGAGTCCCTGGAGCATGTTTCGGACACACCCCTACACTTTGCACTCCACATTTACAGCATCACATATAATATACACGCACACACACACACAGACAGTTGTGGGATTTCGGCAAAATGAACGGGCAAGCAGAGAAGACGGGTGACGCGGGGTTGCTGTTGGTTGTTTCACACAAGCGACGGCTAGTGCAAGACTAGTTTGGACACCATAAGCGGCTGTCCCGGCTTATTTAATCTCGGCACCTCAAAGGGCTACCCTGTCGATTCGCAGCTACGTGGCTCCAGCGTCCCGGAACCATACCAGCACGCTCTGAAGAGCTTCTTGGTAGATGGCAACTCTCAGGTGTGGGGCATCCTTTGTGCTATTTAAATAACTAATGCAAGAGTGACCGTCTTTTCCCATGTGCTAAGGAAGTTCTCACACACACACACACTGCCCCACATATGTGAAGCACGCTTGCAAAATTTTCTGATGCAGTCTGTCCATGCCGTCTGCGTACGTGCTTGATGCGACAAGGTAGTGGACAACCACACGGTCGGTTTTGTCCATTGGCCTTGTTCTGCCACTCAATACATACTGGGCGCTGGGGTTTAGTCAACGCAGGTTGTGTGAAGTCACCTTTCCCCAAGCTCACGCCCAGATTCGCGCGAAGTCGACCCATCCGCGAAAAGGCGACTCACACACTGGTATCTGCAAGTACACGCTGGTTTTGAAGGAGCACAGCCCGACATGTCAAATCTGCGCGTGGCACGAGACTCTTCGCACAAAGTGAAGCAAGCGTGCACTGAAACAAACCAAATCTGCAACTGCACGCCACGTTCTAGTGGGAGCTATCCAGGCCTCGAAGCGAGCGGAAACTGCATGCACACGCTGGGTTTCAAGGAGCTCTGTTACATCATTGTTGCAAACCGCACCCTCACGCGTTATGTCGCCCCCAGGCGCGTGAAGTCGCCCCACCGCATGGCCACACGGGAACGCGTGAAGTCACACCCGGGCGTGTGAAGTCACACCCACAGCATGGCTGCACATCGCAGTCCCCATGGCCACGCGCTTCCTAGCACATTCCTGGCACAGACGTCAACTTAGGATTTTGAGTCCCGCGCGCAGGGTTTCTTAGGAAATTTCTGTCCCGAAGCCTTGAAAAGTCTGCCAGCTTGGCAACTAATGTAACTATCATCACCATGCGCACCCGCTTTCAGACATGTAACAAGCGCCCGCTCAAGACACACATCATTGGCACTATAGTGACTTATACTGCACGAAGACGTGAGGAAAACAAGCCGTTCTTCATGTAGACGCTAGTTTCCAGAAGCGCCCGCTCAACGCAAACAGCAGTAAAATAACAGCACTTCAAAACCAGCCATTCCCCAACTAGACGCTCGATTTCCTAAGCATCCGCTCGAGACACACATCATTATAGCATCACAGCGCACACAACCAGCCATTGTACACGCTCGATTTCACAAGCACCCCCTCAAGACAATCAGCAGTAAAAATGTATTTTTCGTTTATCTGTTGCTCTTAAAACCTATTCACCCTGTATTTCTTCAATACCTATTGGATACCATAGTTCAATCGAAAATCTATTCAACTCCGTGTTTCTGGGTGTCTTCGGGAATCAGGCTGACCGAGACGCCCTCCGTATAAGCAGCTTAAATGTAACTACTCACTCAAAACGATACAAGGTCTGTGGCCAATTTCATAGCCTACTTTTAAGATTTACGCCAGAATGAACGATACCAGGTCGTAGATCAATAAATGGGGTTGAACGATACCCTCGGGTGTGATTTGATGCCACATAATTACCCATCCCTGTGAATTGGTACGTCTTCGCAAGCTTGGGCAGTAAATCACAACCAGCCATTCCCCTTGTAGACGCTGGATTTCGCAAGCACCAACCGAGACACAAGTGGCATCACAACACATCAAAACCAGCCATTCCCCATGTAGACGCATGTAGACGCTCGATTCCACAAGCGCCCACTGGAGACGCGCATCAGTGGCAGCACACCACGTCACAACCAGCCATTCCCCATCTAGACGCTCGATTCCACAAGCGCCCACTCGAGACGCACAACAGTGGCATGACAGCACATCAAAACCATTTGGACACTCGATTTTTGAAGCACCCAGCAAGCACCCAGTAATGCAGAAAGAACAAGGTTCCATGTAAATTGCTGTAAATTCAGCTTCAGCAATCAAACCACAACACAATCCCAAATCAACGTGATCACGAATCCCCAAGTAGACGCTCGGCGATGCACTCCCCCGGCTGCTTCCCCCCAGTGTGGGCTGGGATCCAAAAAATATGATGCGACTTTGCTGTGTCACCGTAGGGTGTGGGATGCATATCGTGCTCTTATGGTCAGGGGCTTTGGCAATGGGAGTAGTCTACCTCTTAGACCGCGAAATGTTACCACTTATGGTTTTCGTTCCCCCGAGTGTCTGCAGCGATTTACTGACACGCGTTACGACTTCAGTAGTGCCCTGTAATGGACACCATCAAGGTTACCATAAGGGTTATCATAAGGGTTCAAGGCTTTTAAGGGATACTGTAAATGCTAGTATAAGGGTTGCCGTGAGCGCGTTTGATCGAAATTCCAATGCACATGCCAGTGCGAGCCGGCTCTTGAGAAACACATCAATGCATATCGGGAGTAACTCTGGAGAAACACATCAATGCATATCGGGAGTAAGGCTTAGCGTTTTAGTTGGGTTTTCAATGTCGCCACACGACTGGCTCCCAAGCTTTAATTCGGAATCCCCATGTGTTTGCCGGGTGAGATGACTTCCAGCTAAATGTTCTTACGAGCTTGTATGCGGAATCCCCATGTGCACGCCCGCGCGAGACGACTTTACACAAGGTGAGACGTCTTAACCCGACTACCTAATAGCAGCGTTGTTTTGTCGGCAGACTGTTTTGCATTACTGCGTCTACATTGGAGGCAGATAAAGTGCTCGTTGTGACTGAGGTGTGTGTGTGTGTGCAGTAGCCGTGAAACACCGTCAACCGAAAACCTCTGTAGTACTCCGATGTACCAAACATGTAGGTCGCAGGCCTCACAACATCCACTATGAGTCCATGTTGTCTTCGTTTGATGGATCCTGACGCTTACGTTTTGGGACTAGAAGGCGGACCTCTGGCGACATGGATTTCCCGGATGTTGTCGGTCTCATGTCTTCGGTTTGCAAATTGAAAACTGCGCCAAATGGTATGCCATACTTGGACCCATGTCCGTTCTGTAGTGTCCAAAGCCAGCGCCTGTCTTGATCCATGGCTCAAGTCGTGGTTGGGCCGAAAGAATGGCTGCGTACATGACGTGGGTCTGGGCATGTGCGGCGTAACAATTCTCTTGTGCTTTTTGTCCGCCCATTAATTCGAAGGCATGTTGCGTCGTGGGGTTGTTTTGCCGCAGATTGCTGGTTGACTGTTCCCATGAGGATGTGTCTAGTTTTGTGATGGGCGTCGTCGTGTAATGGCTAATATTCATAGACCTATTGACGTAGTCATTTCAAAAACATTTGCGAGATCTCAGCGAGCGGGATTGAAAAAATCTGTGAGCGCAGCGTTTTGTCTTGAAAAAATTGTGAGCAATATGAAAAAAACTTGAAAAAACTGACAGCTCGGATTCCTCGAAATTGCTCTGCTCTCTAATTTCCGAGGATATAGCGACAAAGTATGGAGCAGAGGCTTCTGGAGATTGTAAAAGATTAGAAAGTGGAAGTCTCCGCTCTCTAATTTCTCTGTAATAATGTCCCAAAGAATAAAGAAAAAAACTAGAGGAAAAAACGGGCGGAAGCCTCTGCTCCCAAATTCTCCCAAATTTCTCAGCAATTAAACAAGAATTAAAAAGCGGAACATCTCTTTAACTTCCGAGGAATTAAAAAGGAAGTAGAGAGGACGGAAGCTTCTCCTCGTTAATTTTTCTTCGACCTCTCTCTAGATTCTCTTTAATTTCCCTCTCGAGTCGCTTTCACACCGAAGCACCCGGATCACAAACAGATCAGAAAAACTTCTCAATTCAAAACGCACAAATCACAGAGTCGATCACAGAGGAACTTCTCTTTAAAAACTCACTAATTAATTCTCTGGCTTGGGTCTTAGTAACTACAAGGCAAGCCCGTCACAAGTCCAGTTAGTGAAATCCAATGGTGAAAAGTGCATGAACGTGGAGTCTACGGTATTGAAAAATGGCAGTTGAATCAATTGCCAGAATGTCAGATTGCGATGTCTCATGACTGCGTTAAGGCTTGGTGAAGTGTGTGGGTGAAAATGTCGAAAGGCACAGGGCGGTCTTGTGAGACGGCATGGAGACACAACAGTGTGTTACCACTCCTGCGTTTCTGATATGTAAATAGGCGGCTTTACAGGTTGCTGGTGACAGATGGTGGTCGCCTTTGTTGTAGCGTCATATGCCGCGTTGTAGTACGCGAAGTGGGTGTCGACCTGTAGTTCAGTAGCATGTTGATGTGGTGCCGTAAGGCGATGAGTCACTTGTACCGCATGTAGTTGACCTCACGTGTGTAGTTTTGGCCTTGGTACCGTAGCTCGCATGCCCATACGGTGGGTTGGATGTCGAACTGCACAATGTACTGTAGCGCAAGCACCGAAAAGTTGTTGTTGCTCGAAGTAGCTTCCATGCTGCTCCCGGCTTGGGCGAGCCTGATTTGGGGACGAAATGGCTGCGGCAGTTGCTTTTCGACTGCCATGTCATTTATGCAACGTCTGTACGCGTGTATGTTTTTTCAGCGGGAGCAGGTCTGGCTGAGTTAGGTGTGATTTCCTTCAGATCACCACAGTCACCAAAGTAAACCGGTTCTAGTGTAGAGGGTTTGTAATGCGAATCGGTGGGTTCGTCGGTGCGCATAATGATGCTGTTGTCAACGTACAGCAAGTAGTTCTCGAAGTTGAGCAGGTAGTGGCTGTTGCAACCTCCGCACATCCGTCATGTAGAAGCGTGGCGGCTGACGGTACAACGGTAGATGAACTGCTCGTTGTAAGTTGTGCGCGACAATGTAGGACCTGATAGGATCGCACCACGTTGAGGTGTTGCTTGCTGGCAGCTATATCAGTACTCCGCTCACCCGAGGCTCCACAGCAGAGTCAAGTAAGTAAGCCATAATATTGTCCATGTCCCCATGATCCAACCTTAACGTCTGCGGGTTACGTCGGATGATCTGCTTGAAGGTGCTGTCGCAGAACTCGTTGTCGTACCTCCTGGTCATTCTGTGCTTCCAACCAACGATCGACGATCGAAGAATGTCGTGGATCCCTCTCCGCATCCTCTACGTGAGCGGTATTCCCCGCTTTGGTGCTCTCAGCCCGGGCCTGGCTGCGTAAGCGTCCCACGTTTCCTGGTCATGCCGTACCCAATAGAAGGACTCTGACCGACACGACCATCAGCTACCACAGCCTCAGGAAAGAAGGTAACTCCACCGACGTCTTGACCTCCTTGCTGAAACAGAGCCTTTGCAACGCTCAAGCACTGCACCCGCACTAGCCCGCGAATTGCGTCTTGCTTGCGCTCCCAAACTTCCCAGCCCAAAGTGTCATGCAAGTCAAACGGCATGACTCCATCGCCAAAGATGATGCCCATCGTCGCGCACAGGTGCCCGGGCCTTTGACGGTGTTGTGCCTTTGCCATTCTTGACGAGTACACCAGCTCGCACACCAGCTCGCACACATTCGAATGACAACGGTGTTGTCTCCCGCCTCGTCCATGAGGCCACGCCTGCTCAAGTCCAGCTTGGCTTCCACACGAGTGGCAAGAGCAGGAGGAGCTTGGCCAAGGCGAAAAATCTATCTGGATCTGACTCCACGAGTAGCACCATCCGTCCTGGCAGAGCACCTGGTATCCTGCCTGTCGTAAGTTGCCTGCTATTGCCACTAGCTCGGTAGGGAAATCCAATGCCTTCGCCAGCTTTGTCGGCGACCATCCGAAGCGCTTCGTCGACGATCGGGTCATCCTCTCTGTTTGCAGCAGCCAAACACTCGCCGGGTTCGCATCCATCTTTTCTGACAAGTCGTACGTGTTCTTGACCAGCACCTCGCTGTGCTTGTTGGGTCCAGTGTTGAGCACGAGCTTGCCATTGTCCCTCCGTGTAGAAGCTCTGACTGTTGGGCGTTCCTTTGGTCTGGCTTTTGCTTTTGTCGCTGAACTTCTTGCTGGCTGCCTGCTGTGGACGATACTGGTCGCTGCGCCATGCACGGATCATGCATCTTGCTTGCCCTTCCCTTTCTGAACGGTGCGGGCCATCGGTTGCTGTCCGGCGCCTTTACCTTTCGGTTGCGGTCCTGTGCTTTCTCCTCCTCACTGGAGAGACGGCGCCCAATCCTGTCGAAGCGTGCCCGGGTTTTCGGTCAGCAGGGCCTGAAGCTCGTTTCGGAGCTTGCGGTCTAACCCCGTTTCTTCTTCGTCTTCTGGGTCGCAAGCTAGCAACGTGGCCACTTGTTTGTTTCTTTTGCTTTCTTCTGGGTCCTCGGGTCCCGTTCCCACCAGAAGCTGACTCGTCACCATCATTACGTGCATGGTCGTGCAGTCGCGGGCCTCGCCTTTCACCAACAAGCCCTGGACATCCGTCAAGCTCTGGACTGGTTTGCTCGCCGTCACAGCTTGGAGATGTCGTTGCTGGGCCCGGTGGCCATGCAGCATACCGCATGCAGACGCAGTGCAGCCACGTAGCATTCCATTCACTTTCATGTCGCAGCTGGGCATCATGATCATTTGGCTTCATGCATGCCAAACCATGATAATCATGAAATGCGCCATGCTCGCCATCACACCCTCGTAGAAGTCGTTGCATGTCGTTGCGGGGTGCACCGGATGCCGGACTGTTGTATTCCTGCAGCTCACCGTCACAATCACCATCATGTTCATGTTTAAGCCCACTGTGTCGCCTGTTTTTGGGCTTCGCCGCTGCTGGTAAAGTTCGTGTCACGCAGCTTTAGCGTGTCGGCGGAGGCAGCAAAGCAGCCGTAGAAAGAAGTGCTTTAGCCCCAAGGCTTCAGCAAAATTCAAGTGACTGCATCGAAAGCATGCCTCTTCAGGGAGGGCGGGCCGGGCCGAAAAGCTTCCAGCCTCCTTCGTTCCTGAAACATGGCGGGACATGTTTAAGCCCACTGTGTCGCCTGTTTTTGGGCTTCGCCGCTGCTGGTAAAGTTCGTGTCACGCAGCTTTAGCGTGTCGGCGGAGGCAGCAAAGCAGCCGTAGAAAGAAGTGCTTTAGCCCCAAGGCTTCAGCAAAATTCAAGTGACTGCATCGAAAGCATGCCTCTTCCACTCATCACGAAAACCAGACTGCAAAGAAAAGGCAGCAGACGCGTTCGGAGCTGCACTGGGGTCGAAGACTGCAGTAGCGACGTCACGAGCCATGTCGTAGACAAGGAAAAAGTTGCAGAGCAAAGCGAATCAGAACCTTGGCATCATCCGTAGCGTTGTCCAGGGCGGCCAGGGCAGCTACTTCTTGGAGATAGTGTTCGAGGGTGCCCATGTGTTTTAGGCGCAGCTTCCATTGTATGTCAGCTATCGCAGCACCGCGATGGTAAGCTGCAACCGCACCCCCGCCTCGTAGACCTCCAGGTGTAACATCGACCAGCCCTTCCAGGCCGAGTGTCTTAAGACACTTGTCCCAGCGCGAGCGGTAAGCCGAAGGGCTCAACGGAAACAAAGGCTCACTCCTTCCCAAGCTGCCGAAAGCGTGGACGATGAGGGCGATGGCATCCTCGTCGTCAACCCGGATGTGCTGGACCTTTGGGCGGCCTCTCAGAGAAGTCTTTGAGGTTTCCAGGCGCAGAAAGACGGCTCCAACGTTGTAAAACAAGTCCTCAGGGAGCATCAAGTGCTCACGCCGGCATTTCAGAACTTCCCCAATGCGAGCCATGCCATAGAAGGCCAGCAAAGAGCAGGCAGCCCATCGCCTGAAACCCTTAAGCCAACAGAGCACCACCATAGCCTTCAGCAGAGGCTCCGGAAGCGGGGTCCGGTGCACAACAGGCTCGACTGCCTCCCATCTCGAGAGCAGCTCCCACGCTGGAGCCAAAGAACCTTTGAGAAGCGGCAGTTCGCGTTGGGCTCCAACCAAGGTATACCGAAAGGTGTGCTTGGTTCCTCCCGAGCAGTACAAGTGGTTGCCGAAAGCACGGAGGGCCATGGCGGCTAACACTGGACAAGACGCGAACAAACCGAGAGGATCGACAGACAGGAAAGGGGAGACCCACACGAGAAAGGAAGTCCAGGCCGAAGTGCCCAAGAAGAGCGAGGATGCGGACTGCAGCGGCTGGGCTTCAAGGTCGCCGCTGGAGCGCGGTTGACGACCGCGACGCCACCGGGGCCCAGGGTGCTTGGCTTCACCGACGCGACAACAAGGCCCTAGCTTAGCACACGCGCTGGGGTCCAACGGCCTGGCGCAAGTCCAGCCAGCATGGGAACAGAGACCGAGGGCCAGAGCTTCGGAGAAGCCCGCAGGGTAATGCTCGGCGACGGCAGACCAGGGCAAACGGTGGGCGGAAGACCAACCAAGAAGTCGAAGATGCCGCACCTTGCCAGTGCAAAGAAGCCTGGCCGAAGCGAGCATACAGTTTGTGGCTACCCTTGTCCGCTTTCTCCACAGGCAACCAAACTGACACAGATCAGCCCTGAAAGTACCAGTCGAACCCGGACGGCTTTCGAACTGCCAGCCGGGCATAAGCCAAAAGTAGGCGCAGTCTGGAGCCTCAACAGAGTAAGCGGCAGCGTTTTGGACAGCGAGGTCGCGGCAACGGAGAAGCCACTGATTCAAAAGGTTGTCTGCATGCACCTTGCGAAACATAGCGGGCGAAAGATGCCCAACACCGGCCGGCTCAGCACGAGAACGGACGGGCGGGCGAACAGCCCTGGAGAAAGAAGAAGCCGGCGGCTTTGCACGAAAAACTTTGAAGGCCTTGCAAGACAGCAACCACTCAAGGAGGGCGCGACGTGTTGAGCAAGCAAGGTCCTCGTCGGGAGACCGGGCACTGTTGAAAGTGAGCACCCATGGGGCGCCGTGCCGGACCAAAGCACGCGCAAAGCAGAGGTCAGAGTCAAACAAGTCAAGGGCCCCAGGCACGTCAAGATCAAGTGCACCGCCCGGAGGCGTCACGAACTGCCTAGCTGGAAACCGAGCAAGGACCTGAGCGACAGCACTGGCGGCAGGGTTCGACTTGAAAGGCAGAAGCGGCGCTTTGCCCGGAGGCTCGGCAGTGCACTTTGCGCGCGGAGGCAACCGAGACAAGGAGCACGACCGGCTTTCGCGGTTGGACCGGGTAACGATGGGCCGCATACCGCCCAACTCCAGAAGGTCTGACTGTTTAAAGTCAGCTTCGCGATCGCCTTCGGCAGGCACGGTCTTGGCACGGCAACCGGTATTGGAGTCAGGGGCACTGTCGTGCTCAGCAAGAAAGGCCTCAAGCAACGTAGCATCCCCAGCCTCTAGCGCAGCCCACCACGCAGGCTTTGGGCAGGAAGGTGGTCTTACACTGAGATGCCTCGTGGGGTCATCGGCAGGATTCAGGGCTGAGGGGTAAAAGAGATGCCCCGGGAAGACCCGCGAGCTCAGCAGCGGTGCAAGAGAAGCTGCCAGCATGCGGTTTAACACACCTGAGGAGGACCTGCCCTTGCACAGACATCCCAGACTTACCTGCGAGTCAAGGCCAAACAAGGGTCGGGAAGCAACATATCGCCCGGCCACCCTCGCTTCTTCTCGCAAGTAGGCACCCAACTCGGCCACATTGATGTGCACCCGATTGCGGTACTCGCGCCTCCACAGGCACTTGTAAGCAGGCACACGCGCAGCAGCCTCAGCCAAAGGATGAGCGAAATAGCTCACCTCCCCCGGCAGCTCGTCAGAGGGCTCAAGGAGGCACCGTTGTCTTAGGTAGGCGGCTTGGGGTGACAAAAGACGCGTCCAAGAGCCACGCTGCACAGTATGCCGCAAGAGCTCCTCTGACACCTCGGGCGCCACGTGGGCTTCAACGGCAGCTTGCCAGGTGCTGGACGCATCGGTGGCGATGATAATGGGCAACACCGGGGCCCGCAAATCAACCACAGCCAGGTGCCCCAAGCAAACAAAAGAGGCAAGCTCAGCTTTTAGCTCGGGGCTAAGTCGCAAGATGGCCTGAGGAGACCCTTCGCGGAGCACCTGGAAGCACAGGTTCACCAAGCTGAGGAGCCGCCGCCGGACCATAAAGACCGAAACCCAAGAGCCGACAAGGGATTCGAGGAGCGACCGGGTGGCAAGGCCGAGCTGAATCACACGAGTGGTAATCAGTACCAGAGGCCAAAACCTCGAAGGATTTGGCCTCACCAGCCCCGAAACGCCACAGCAGTCAACCCCCCAAAACGAGGCTTGAGTCTTGTCTTCAAAGGTCTTCTCGGGTGAGTACCGCAAGTGGGCCCGGTCATAAGCTTCAAGAGCTGCTCTCAAGCGGCGGGAGCCTGCAGAGGACCCAGGCTTTGCAGAAAACTTCGGCAACTGCTCAGCAAGGCAACGCTGTAATATAATGAGGTCGTCGATGACCAAGCCAACTGAAAGAAGCCCCCTAGGAGGAGCCTGAGCCTGGACCATCAACTCTCCCACCTGCAAAGCTCGGCCCTGGAGCAAGACACCAAGGTGGCTGCACTGAGCGAACTCACAAGCAGAAGAGTCGCCCATTGCGAGCGAAGTGAGGCCGCAATGCACAACGGCGCCCGGGGGCCCAAAGTCGGAAGCGGGGCGCTCGAAGACGAACGCAGCCTCACTGGCGGTGAGGGCACAGGCAAGAAGATTCCTGGTGGCGCGCTGAGGCGAAACACAAAATTGGTAAAAGCAGTCCACCAAATCTGTGCCGGCCATGAGCAAAACCTCGCCCTCCTTTAAGACGATCCCGCCGAGACAGGCTGCAGATGCAAGAGTATGGACCCAGCGGCCGGGAAAGTCCTCGAGGGCGTTTGCAGGGCGCGCGTCTAAAATCAGGCGGTCCTTAACTTCACTTTTGGCCACGCAGAAAAGGCCCGCGCCCCAATCAAGACGCTCAGGCGGCACCGAAGTCAAAGGTTCGAGGCGGCCAGACCTAGCAAGGTTCTGGAGAAGCTGAAGCTTTTGGGTGGAGTCGGCCAAAATCTTCACGAAAGGTGGCTTATCGACACCCGGCTCGGGGATTCGTGCATGGCGTAGGGGCTCCAAGAAGAACTCCTTCGTAGTGCTGTCCATGTATGGTACAGGGTCAAATTCCGGACGGGCCGGCAGCTTCACACGGGCAGCCGTGATAGGCAAAGCAGCCACGTCAGGTTTGCCAGGCAAAAGGCCGACGACGTCGGCAGGTGGCGCAGGTGAAAAAGGGCCAGGAACGGACGTAAAGGAACGCGGCAAGTAGCCACCCAAGCTGTTACACACTGAGGCGGCTGCCCGGCCGAGCGCCTGCAAAACCTTGTCCTGACCTTCCACCTTGTGACCTATTCGCCCGTAGTCAGAGGGCTCGTAGTGCAAAGGAAAAAAGCTGCCGAACACCAAGTGCCGTAAGCCCCGCACGGCTTTCCACTGCTTCCGGTTGAGGGGCACGCCGAGGCGCACCGAAGAAGGGCAGTCATCAGGGCAGCCGAGGTAAAGGTAGCTAAGTTGCGCCACCGTAAGGTTGAGAAGGCTTTTCCTCCAAAGTCCCGGCGCGGGTCGGCCCGCGAAAGCTTCGGGAAAAGGCATGGGACAAGGCCAGGTGTGGGGCGTGGAGGCAAATTGGGCCCCCGAGCGAAGCGAAGACCGAAGAAAAGAAGAGAAAGGCCCGGAGCTCTTCAAAAGTATCCGGGGCAGCGAATTCCACAAAGCGGGCAAAGCGAGAGGGGGAGCGTCAGCTCCGGGCGCTCGCCGACCGGCCTTCGGTCTCATGCATCTGCTTTTGGCTGAGGTTTTCGAGGCGGCCTCCGCGGAGGCTGAGGGACCTCGGTCGAAGGTTCTGTCGCATCCTTGGGCCCGGGAGTCTGCCGCTGAGATAGTCGATGCCGTTTTTCCAGGAAATCGGCCTCGTCTCGAAGCCGCGACAAAGCAATCTCTGCCCACCGCGGATCCAACAGCTTGCTGTAGACCCCCTCTGCCGAGGACTGCCCCGTGTCGTGACGCCGGAAAGAGGCCATCGGAGGAGACGGCTCCAGTGATAACTCTTGGCTGAGTAGCCAGTTTCCTTTGTCCACTGAGGTCTGGTCTGCCTGCAGCAAGGCAATGTTCAGGCGGGCTCTCGCTTGCGCGGTCTGGCCGTTCCGCAAGCAATCCAAAGCCCCGGCTATCGCCCATGCTAGGTGAACCATGGTCGGAAAGGCTTGCACTTTGCTCCTGTGTTCCAGCCACGCACGGCTGCTCGTCAGGGGCGGGATAGCAATGCCCGGCGTGGAGGCACTCAAGTCCTCGGCCATGAGATTTTCGATGATAGCTGATATCTCGTGAGGAGACGAGGTCAGCGCCTCTCGAAGCAAGCGCCTGGCAGAGGAATTTCTTCTCCCCCCGCCCAAGGAGGTGTCGAGAGACCCACCGCCGGTAGCATCGAGGGCTCTTTCCAGGGCGCCCTTCTTCTGAGAGCTGGGGGATTGAAAGGTGTCTAGGCACTTTACGAGGGCAGAGGCAAGGGCTTCGGCCGAACCGTTCGAAGTCAAAGCCTGACCCGACCCAGCACCTGCGAGGTGCCCCTGGGGCTCGTTTGCTGCCTGCGCTTCGTCCTCCGACTCTTCCAAAGGATCTCGCCCCGCATCGGCCAAGGCTGGCCTCGGCTCCGGTTTCAGCCTTCCCATCGGCCCCGGGGCACCGACGAGCCGGCTCATCTCTTGCAAGGCTTGGGAATCGACCCCGGCCGCCAGCGCTGCTGCGACAACCCCTTTGTCTAAACCCGGATAAACCCCAGTGTTGGCGTCGGCAACCGTGCCCGGCTTGGGTGCGGCGGCTTTGGGCACCCGTCGAAGCCTCAACTGTGGATGAGCAGAAGAGCTGGGCTCGGCTTTTGCAGGGTAGCCAGAAAGGCTGGCAGCCAAAGTCGCAACGGTAGCCTCCAAACTTGCAAGCCTTTGGTCGAAACCTGCTGGGGCAGGGCCTTCGGAGGCTGTCTGCAACGGCGTGGCCTGTGCCTGTGCAACCTGAACCTGCCAAATCTCGGCCAGCGAGTCGACCAGGGGCACAAGCGGTTCGCCGGTAGGAAGAAGACCAAAGGGCACAGTCACGTCCTCGTCCGAGACCTCTAGGGTGTCCTCGGCCGAGCTCTCGCAGAAGCCGAGCCATATACGAATGGTTTGCCCAGGAATCTCGGAGACTCTGTCCTTCCGCGAACACACAGCAACCTCGGCGCCGAAGACCCGGCTGATGAACCCCTTCGGGACAGCTCGTCGGGCGATGGTGCGGTGCCACGCTGCGGCAGGAAGGGCAATCAGCAACCGCCCCCCGACGTCTCCCACACACAAGGCTTGCACTGTCACGGGCGCTCCACTTGCATCCTCCCCGCACGGCAGCACGAGAAGGGGACATAGTTGATCTAAGAAACCGTCTCCTACTGCAGCGGCGTCCCTAGCATTCAAAGGGTCGCCGTCGTGCTCTGCAGTTTCTTCCTCCATCTCACCAAGAGGCAGGCAACTGGAAGTCGCCGGCAGCGCAAACGGCAATCACGTCCCTCCGCGCAGGCAACCCCACGAAGACAGAGTCCCCGCAGTCGGAACCTCTTTTGCAAATCCGGGCACAATCGCTGAACCTGTGAAGCACCAGGACGGGATGCCTAACCACACCCTCGAAGTCTCGCACCACCAACCACAACCTCGACTGCTGACTCAACCGATCCCTCCCGCTCACCCCACGGTGCTGGCCGCTGACGGCGCGCCTCAAGAAGAGGCCGATCTCACGGCAAGCTGCAGCACGCTCTGAAGAAGAAGCCTCGGGCACCACAGGATTCCAAGCTGTAAGCGGAGCTCGTTCCACAGCAGCAGGGGAGCTGGATGCAGGCGTGACGGGCAACTGGTGGTCAGGCCGGCGCTGCGGTGTACTGTCTATGTCGGGGTAAGAGCCGGCGGCCGAAGGGTGGCTAACTAGCTCAAAGGGCGCACTTTGGGTTCGGGGAGTTAACAAGGCCTCGAGCTGAGAGATTCGGCCTTGCAGAGCTGACACTAGCTCTTCGAGGTGAGTCACACGGAGCTCGAGGCTCATGCACGGCCTACCTTACAGCAACCTATACCTGAAAGGCGGCCTAAGAACCCTATCAACCCTAACCCAAATCAACCCCCGTATGCAGAGCAGAAGCTCCAGGGCAGGCAGCAAGAAAATTCCAATGCCAAGCCCGAGCAGCACAGAAGGTAGGTGGATGTTGCTGAGGACGGTGGGTTCGAAGAAATCCAAAGCGGAAGGACACACCGGGCAGGGATCGAGGAAAGGGGGGTCAGAATGTTCGAGGAACCGAGTCAGGTGGAGAAGCAAAGAGGTGACGGACAGACCAGACGACGCAGAGACCAAGTTTCGCTGCATCAACCTCGGGCCGAAAAGCTTCCAGCCTCCTTCGTTCCTGAAACATGGCGGGACATCATGCTGCGACCGGGCGAATGGCGCATCCGGTCAAGTACCGCAGGTGCCAAAGGGTGAAAGCAGACAGCTACCCATGGCCATGTGCGCAGCTTTGCCGATTCCCAGTCGTACCAAGAGGGTTGAAGCGTAAGTTTTAAAAGGAGGCACTATGCCTCAAAGCCTGCTCAAGCCGCCATAATTGTAATGGCTGTTTAAATCGATGTGCACAAGTGTGAATTCACTCGACCCTACCCAACCATCCGTTCATGAACGCTGATGAAGATTTGAATGGGAAGTTACGCCGAATGCACCCAGACCCTAAGCTCCCAGGCCAGGGGGAGAAGGCAACACAAAAGCCACGAATCACAATATACGGGAAGAGCGAGACCTCCAGCAACTGACGGCAATAAACTGGAAAAGGAGGGCAGCAAGGGCAGGGCAACGGGATAGTTGTTGGGTGAGGTTGGGTGAGGAGGGTGCACGGTTGTGCAGTCTTGCCAAAATCCCGGGCCAGTGCCCAGTGCAGGGAGACCTAAACAAATAGGCAAGAACTGTCAGTTGGCAAATGGCAGCAATGCCAAAGCCCCAAAACCAGGCCATAAAATCCTACAGCACATCTCAAAAGCATGGTGCACCAAAGAAGAAAACCAGACACCAACATAGCAGGCCCATGGCGCCTTTCGTCCTTTGCAAATTTAGGCATGCATTGGGATGCATTTGCATATTGTAGAGACGCAAGGCTTCGTAAGCACTTGCGCACAGCACGTCTTTGTACATACAGGTACATTGCAAACACACAGTCACAAGTTCCTGCCGTGCCCGTCGCCTGCAGCTAGGCTGCAAATGACCACTGCAGCTGGCGCAAACTATGTACTCGAAGCGGGCTCATCGAGCTTCTGCACAGCGGCACCACTGGCCGTGCACGTCCAGGTCACCGCATGTGCGTTGGGTAGCCGGCTGTCCTCGATCGACCGAGCAACTTGCACAAAGCACCTCAAGTCTAGACCCCAACTTGCCAGTTTACATCAATACATCAGGCTCATAAACATCTACTCTCCATTACAGCCAAGCTTCGCCGGGTGCGACTGGAAGGGTGGTGGCCCTGCAAGAACTTAGGAGTTTCGAGGGATGTGGGGGAAGTTTCGATCTGTTGCTGGCTGCGCAAAGAAATGGCTTCTGCTTTGTCGTTGTAAGTCGAGGAGCAGTAGCGCCCCTGCTCATCCCAAGGTGTCTTCATGAGATTGGCTTCCAAAAACGGCCCAGTTCAAGAGTTCCACTCGTTTCGGAGCTGCTACCTCGTAACACAACAGTCTGAACCAGCTCCGCCGTCATTTGGAGGCCTGGCAAACGTACAAGTGCCTCGCGAGTGCGCGTATGTTGCACTCTTGCAGCTTTACCATGAAACTCATCTCTCTTCGTCCAATCTTCGGGTGAAGTTCGACTAGCTGGGATTGCTCAGCAACATTTGTTGACATCAACTCGTCCCGAACGACGCAGACTCTTGGATCCAGAAGCCTTCAAGGGTGGTGTCTACACGGCTGGTCACTGTGGGAATATCGCAGCACGCAAGGAAGGTCGGGAAGTACAAGGCTACAGTACTAAACTAAACCTTGGAACAAACTTCGCTACAAAATGCGAAAGGATGATGCTGCCTGCACACAAGCCTTCGATAGAGCCTGGCATGTCAAGCCACATACTCGCTTCTATGCGTTTCCTCAGACACGCTTGCTTCCTCTTGTTTCCATGCCCTTCCCAGGCAAGTGCCTTGTGGCACTTGCTGCTGCGGCAGCGCAGGCTGCGATTGCATGTGGCCTGTCGAGCTCACAGAAAACCTCTGCAGACAACACGATCGCAGCTGATTAGCCCCGCCTTCCTGGTTCCTGGATGCCTGACCAGGATTACACGGCTCGATTGTGATGTTCGCACGCTGCGTACGTCTCAGAAGCAAAGGTGCGATGTCAGACGGACGACAACGGGGGCCGACAGGATGCAAAAAGGTGCATCATGCATCGCGCATGTTGCTCCGCTGATGCAAAGTATACCTGCTCACATGACTTCTTCCCACAGTGAATGGGTTGGCAGCTGTGTCGTTTGGCTCTCCGTTGCAATGGTACAGTGCAGTGCCGCAGCTGAGGGAAAGATGGCCGTGCGAAGCTCGCGTTGCAATCAAGGGAATTTTGCAAAAAGGGCTCTCAGAGAGAGTGTGCCGACGGAGCATGAGGTCCAGCTGGTCATTCGAGACGCTTCAACATGAGCCTTCTCGACCTCGTGGGCTGGACCCCGAGAGGTTTTGTGGGTGGTGCTTTGCCGGCTGGTCAACTCAACAGCAAGCGAGTGCAAGATCGCAGCATGTGCGATGAATACTACGGTTCATATTCAGAAGCAATAGCGCAAGGAACACCATCATCGAGCAGGCTGCACATTCTTATGCGAAAGCTGTCGAATGCTTCAAGAAAGTCTTCACGCAGAGTCAGCAAGGTTGAATCTGGACTTGTGTTGCCTTGCACGAACCGTACATGGCTCTTATGAGCTACTTAATTTGCAAAGCATGCGGTCACACAGTAACAGCACAGGCATCTGCATCGTGCAGTCTGTCTGACCTTTCCTACATCTAGGATGACTGCGCATGCTGCTAACGCACCATGTGAAGTAAGAGAGGAGATTCTGACCATCCGAATGTTGCAGCATTGGTCAAGCACCCGCATGAGATCTGGACTGAACGCCTGCACTGCTCAGCACACCAAAAATGAATCTGATCAACTAAACCATCAAATGCACGTATGTCTGCACAGATCCACAACAACACACATACGCTGATACACACATGAGGAAGTTAGTGTGTATGTGCGTGTAGATATATATATATATATAATGTGCGAGTGTGTGTGTGTATATATATATATATATGTTTATGGTGACCCCAACCTATAGACCCACATCGTCATGTCTATTCAATCAAAAAGGCTGGCGAGACAAAGCGAGCACGAGCTTGACAATGCTGCTGGTGACCAAAATAGCGGGGGAAACGAATGCCAGCCGTCACAGGATCCCCAGGAAAACGGCTAACATACTAAAAAAACGTAATCGTAGCAATGAGACTCATCAAACTCCCGATCGAAGTACACACAAAAACCAAAAACACCTTATATACAATGTCTAACAAGAATTGTTGTTGTTGTTGCACTTATTTTTGTTGCTTGCTCTACTCGCAAAGCGAGGATTTATTTCACCCCAAGGACAACTTTTCCCGCTGCGTGTGAATGAAATGTTGCTTGCTCTGGCCTTTTTCTGCGTGTAGTGTTGTGGCTCTTTGCTTTTTGGTCTGTGATACAGTTCTCGGCATTTCGTGGGCTCATTGTTTAGCCTGTGTTGCTGATAACTATGTTGGTATCTACTCAGTATTCAGTTGAAGTCTCTCTTTCCTGCTTTCCATGTCCAAGTGACAAAATAAATAGACTGAGTGTTCCGTTGTCGTGGCTGTGCTTGTTGGAATTACGTCCACCTTTTTGTGTCTGAACTGCAGACCCTCGAATACAGCGTTGAACAACTGCTTTTGAGTCTTATGATGGTCCCTGACGATTGTTCGACGTGTAAGCATGGGACCTTCTCGTCTCGGCGCGCTTTGATCATCTCCAACTAAATCTCTGTACTCTGCTAAACACATTAGACTCTTCAGTGTTGTTCTGTATTGCAATGAGTGTATCTTCGTCATATCGCAATACAACCCCATATATGTCAATGCCATATTTGACGCCACGATACACAACATCTATCCTGATCCGATTCACATGTCCCGTTAGCCCTGACCGCTTTGAACCTTCTCATACGATAGCCCTAACCTCTTTGAATCTTGTCATACTACGAGGTACGCTGTTTGCCTTTGCACATTTGTTGTACACCCTTTCTAATCAATTCTTCTTTGTTGTCATGTTTATTACACCTGCTGCAAACAGAACAAGAATTCAACGCGGTTTGGTCTGACATGCACATACCAGTGCCTCATACACAATCTGAACATCCAGTAAGTTTCCTTTCTTTGTTTGAACTAACAGTTTACATGCAGTTCAGTTTATGGCAGAAGCGCGATCATTGCCATGACACGGGTCAATGCGACTCGGCAGGCCACGATGCATATATACATACATATGTGTCTATATGTGACTTGACATAAAAAAGAACAAGTAATACACAATATAATAAAGAATACAGAAATCATGATATACAAAATAGAATGTAACAAGGATGATATAAAGTATGTCATTATATATATATATATATGTATTATAAAACATAAAACACGTGATATATATATATATATATACAGTGACAATAAACCATAGATCACATATATTATATGGTACTTATAATGTGTGTTTATACACTAATGTGTAGTGTATATATCATGAAACCTGTGGTACAAAACCAGCTATACAAAGGATTAGGTTGCAAGCCGGAAGGCCAAAAACACAGCGGTAGAGTTCCGGCCTGGAACCCAATTAGGTTGCGTTTCTATAGTGTACTAAAATATATCGCCATCGTGAGCCTTGTTAAGACACTATGAAGCCGGCAATGTTGCCCAAGTGCACATCTAAGATTCGGGGATGAAGTGGAGTAGGTGAACGGAGCGAAGCTCTGCAAGCACGACCCCGTGTTCATCGCAAATCTAAGTAGCAGCACACCTGCAAACCCAGAATAATGAGCCAAGCTAACACACTGATTCACAACACAGGAGCAGCAGAAGCAAAAGCAAGGGGCCGAGAGATAGAAAGAGAGAGAGAGCACTCGCCAGCCTGGTGCTCACCACCACCCAGCGACCAGCCACCGAATGTGTGCTGCCCCTGCTTCAGCCACGTGGACACGAACATCTCGGGCCTGCACGACGCATGGAAGCATCGAAAGCATGAAATCACCAAACGAAGGTACACTAAAATCGCCTTGCTCTGCCATGATAGCCGTAAGAAGGCTTCTTCACGGAGTCGATCACTTCCTTGCCTGAATCCGGTAAATGCTGGGCAGAAACCCAAGCCCAAGCAGTCATTGAAGGACAAGCTGCCGATCATCTCTTGGATCTCCTCCGGCACAAACCTGGAAAGCATGGAACCGGCACAACTACGTATTGTGGAGAACACAGAAAGCTCGGATTCCAGCTTATGAATCGTCTTCTTGTTGGCTTTGCGGTTGTACGCAAAACAGTAGAGAAGGGAGTCAGCCTGCAGGAGATAAGCATCAATCCTCCGAGTGTCCCAGGGTCAGGCAAGCTAGTTCTTGCATGAGCATCGACCTGCTCCGGTACTAAGCCCCTGGCCAGATGGTCATACAACGCGCAAAAATCGTACCTGCAGTTGCATTTACCCGATTGTTGGGATCAACTCGTTCTACGCTACGGCTTCAACGGGAATGTGGCACGCTATGGAGCCACATAGGAAGAAAGCCACCGCGGACACCATCTCGGCAACAGACTGCGGATTGAAACGCACATGCACACAAGCCGATGATGATGCAGAAAGAAGGACATGTAAGGATCGGACAACCGGATCCTGGATGAAAGAAGACTTCGCCGGGTCATTGATCCCTGCGTGTCTTGATTTCTCAAAGTCTGCAACACGACACAGCAAACAAAAGAAAACCATGCACAAAGCCTGAATGGTTCATGATGAGATAGGATGTAAGAAAGCCAACCTCAGCAGTTTGTGCTCAGAAGGGCTAGCCGACTAAATGTAAAAGACTGATTCAGCTGTCGCATGTCCGAGCCTTCACTCTGTGTTCCATGTTTACTGCAATTAGCATCTGTGCTCTTGAGTGTCACACCACGGCAATGGCCACCACTCCAATAAATGTACTTGGGCGGCATTTGCCCGTGTACCTGAGCATACGGGAACAGAATCGCACAACTTACCACAGGCTGCTGGCGTGACGATGGTCACTTCTTGACCTGCGCTTGATCTCTAATTATCTTCTGAGCCTTCTCCTTGGCCTGCCAGCGTCACGCCGCACAACACGTTTTAACCTCACCCCCACTTTGCTCCGCTACCGAAACATTTCAAGAAGCTTCATGAAGCTTACGAGTCGTTGCATGAGCAGGCTATTCGAGCAGGCTATTCAGCTCGAGAAAAGCGGCTTCTCTCAGTAAGGGTTGCATGCTAGTTGTTCAAGTCTGAACGTTAGTTACCAGGTACTCCAGAAACTCACTGACTGTAATATACCGACTAGCAAGTAAAACGTAAGACTCGGAATACCTCCGGAACGAGAATTCCTCTACAGCGAGGAGCGCGTGGCAGTTCCGCAGCTTGGGAACGGCGTTCGTGGCTCAAGTCGCGATCTTACCAGAGTCCCACGCCGGGAGCATCCGCCGAGAAACACGAGTTTTTTGAACTTTGCACCTAATTAGCTTGGCACCCTTTCGACCTAGCCAGGAACAAGCCACGCTAAGCCTCAATTGAAACCCCAAGCTGGAAAAATTGAGTTTTCCTCTTGGAGGCTCGACACGCCCGACTGGGCTGGACCGCACACACAAATTGAGGGTGGAAAGCTATGTAACTTCGAGGCCACGAACCAGTGATCTCGGAGAAGCCAGAGGATGTGCCTCTTGAGCTTCTGACTATGTCTAATGCTGTGTCGGGGATCGTCGCATGATTGGAGCTTGGTGCAAAGCCACGCGGGAAGCCTGTGAAGCCTGCTTCCTGTGTAGGCTAGCCCAGATGCAGAACCTCTTGACTGCAGGCTAGCGGACCTGCCAAAAATGCTGCGATCGAATCGTGACATCTTGGTAGGCATCTTTGGAGTACCTGGAACATTTCAAGGTAATGCATTTCGAAAATCATGCCCACGGCAACAAGCAGAAGCGCAGATGCAGATTAACACAGGCCACAGTCGCTGTTGATAGATAGAGTCGGGCTCCTGCCTTGCCAGACAAAGCAAAGATCGGATGACCAAGCACAACTTCATTGCGAGGCGGCTTGGCCCCACGCCAGCTTCCCGCTTGTTTGCTTCTCTTCTCTTTGTCACCGAGGCATCCGTCGACACAACTTCCGATCGCCCTCATGCCACGCAGCAAAGGCACAGCTGAAAACAAGACACAGTTTCAACGATCCACAGTTGAGGCGCAGGCTGGACACAGGGGTTGAACAAGGTCAGAGGCATGAAGCTGCCACACTTGGAGCTCTTGTGCGGGAGGCTCTCAGACTCAGCATCCGGTTGTGTGCAACTCACGTTCATTATCACTAGGTTGGTTGCGTGGTTCTCCAGCAGAGATCTTGACCCAAAGCCATGCCGCCATCCGGAAGATCCGAAAATACCTGGTTTCAGCTGTCAGACAAGACTCACATGACACGGCAGCTGCCAAGGATATGGCCAAATGCCAAAGGCACCAAGCATGATGCTGCCTGGATCGAACAACTTCTGCATTAGAGCAGGGCCCTTATCGTTGAAGAAGGCCTGTGTGGTACCGGGCAGCAATCCACAGCGCTTTCCAGGCGGCAACAGGGATGGCTACCTGGCACTTGCCCCATGTCTACACTGCGCATTTCATCATTCGCTTCCTCTGCTATCCTCCGTCGATCTCACAGAGCTCGGCTAGCCGGGATTCTGGGAAACCACTGCTGCAACTGCACGGGAAACGAGTCTCCCTCGGGGCCGCTCTGGAGCCCTAGCCCTGCCCCAACCTTCTCATCATCTTCCTTCTCAGTGAAATAGAAGATGACCGAGCACCACCTTCAGTCTCAAGTGCATCAAGGCCTACTGGTAGGGTTGTACAACATCGGGTAGCTCACGAGATCACAAACTGCCCCAAAGATGTCCAGATTTCCAGAACCCACATGCCACCGATCAAGTAGATCCTTGACAGGTCGATGGCGCACATTTACACAATAGACTGCGGATAGTGCAAGCGTGTAAGCTGCGCACACGATGCCCAGCCACATCCATGGGTCGAAAGAGAAGTGCTTGCTCATGCCTCGTTCTGAAGAGCTTGGGTCTAAGCTCTGCGCTCCGCTGGAGCCTAGTGGTGCTTGGATGTGCTTGGCCTGCATAGGGCTCTCCCTCCACAATGATTCGATAATCGTCCTGTCTGGACACGATGACACTTCTGAAAGCGAAACAATGGGATCAGCACAGAGTTTGAGTCGTAGATATGTCAATCAACTGCAAGTCGTCCCTCACGAATTTGCCAAGCAAGCGGCAAAAATTCCGACAGAGCATAACGTCATGAAGTTGTAGCACACAACCCACCTGAGATTGCAGCTTCATGCTTGATGCAAGTGACGAGGCGCTCAAAATGTTGGTATATAGCGATTTCACTCCGGCTCACATCCAAGATCGGCACATCGTGAAAAACTTAGCAATAGCCTCAGGCCAGCGCTTCATGTCACCATCCAAACCCATGCTGAGAAGTCCACAGCATGGATTCTCTGAGGGTGTGACTATGAGAGGCGGAATCCAGAAAAGGGATCGCAGCTTCATCAACGCCGCAAAAGCTGCCTCTGCAATGCGACATAGTTACACAGCGCACCCAAGTACCCTCCTCTGGTGAGACAGTAAGGTCTGCCACATCGCAACTTTGAACTCAAGAACCTCTGATCTCTTGAGCCAGTTCTCCTCCAGAGACCCTCGACTTTTCCGGAGGCGGTTGGATCCAAGGAAGCCGCTCCCACACCACAACAACCAGAAGAAGAGCCAACAGAGTTGTTAGGCGAGGCCTCTGTGAGTTCGTGCATTTCCTCCGTGTCGTGGTTCACATTGGTATAGAATGTGCAGGCATTGAACCTTCGCGGTTTCCCGCTGCACTTCTCCAGTGTACATGCTGTATCTTGCCAGCGGAACCCGTCCAAGGATCTGACGACATCAACAGGAAGATGACACCGCAGACTATGGATTCCACCTTTGCCTGACGTGAAGCATTCCTGTCGCTTGTCTCTCCACGAACGCGAGACCTGTCCCACCTGATTTGGCGAAGAACGGCGGAAAAAGAGGTTGTAGTCCTGACGAATCACTTGTTCATGATTCGACTGAAGCCATGTTGAGTCACCCAAGACCAGAATCCCCATCATTCCAACATACAGGATGCAAAACGAGCGCGACAAGCATAAGAAGCACTCGTCCATGTACTGCTCTTCGGAGAAGATAGGCTTCCCAGAGGATACCTGGACATGTGCCCGGGTTGCAAGCAGTAGAGACAGAGCGCTTGACCCTTCCTTAGGTCGGGGCAGCCATAAAACAAAAGATGCTGACCACCAACAGGAACAGGTGTACCAGTACCAAGACGAAGCTGACGATGTTCACGCCTGCATCCTGAAAGACATCGGACGATGGACGATTCCTGGACTTCTAAGCGCTTGTCTTAGCAGCATTGCCCGCCTTCAATGATACGACAACCCAAACGTAGACGAAACTGAGGGCTACGGCCACGAGGACAGTGCAAAACATCACCGTCCAGCAGTCCTCACTGGTGCGAAAACAAGATGCCACAAATCCAAGTGCAGCCGCCTAAATCCGGCATCCTGAAAGCTTCCGACGCCTTTCTGCCTGCCGCAACACGGACACTGATCTGTGGGCGTGGAGGAAATGTCATCCAAGAGCCCAGCAGACGCTCACCCAGACTCAATGGTCCTCCGAGCACTTCTGCCTGCCAGTACCACTGAATGGCAGGTCCAAAGTCCGACACTACAGAATGGCCTTCAAGGCTTCATTCTTCGGCACACAGTACCGCCCGGCCAGAAGCTCTGAGTCATAAGTTGTGGAGTACCTCGAGACTGTCGGGTGCGCAATGCTGCACATGTCAATCGACTTTGCCATCTTGCAGCGTAAATCGATTTTGGCTAGCACGAACTCTCCTATTCGACACGATCGATGCTTCAACGTGTGCCATGAAATTCATGTACTCCACATCGATCCGGTGCAGCGCCACTTGCACTTGGAAAAATCTTTTGTGTGCGAGCTGATCCCCTCTGTCCCCTCCGGTCCCTGCCCCTCTGCAGTCAACTGAGGGGGAACAAGGATAAAGCGGCTCGGTCATTCCAAAGACGTAACGACAAGTGCCAGCACCCGCCTTACAAGGACAGGTGTTTGAACGAGTCCTTCCTGCCGGAGGAGCTTTTGCGGCTGCAAATAGGTCCGGCTGCACGGAGCTAAACATAGATGGACTGCTTCGACAATAGCCGAGACATAGGCATGGACGTTCTACCCGACCAAAAGCTGGTGCTCCCTTCCGTGAAGACATGAGTGGCAATCGCAGAGCATAAACACGTGCTGACATGCAAACAGTAAGCTCCAATGCAATCTTAAAGCAACTGAGGACGTCACACAGTCTCCTCGCGGAACATCAGGAAGTAGTTCTGTACACTGCCAAGTTGGCCACCTCTTCATCATTTCCAGCGCCGCAAGAAACCGAAAATGCTGCCTGCATGCCTGGGATGTTCGGCACGGGCTCGATGGCATATGCCGGCCCGTTGCCCTGCGCTCGCATCAAACACCTGCGTCGGATGCATACCCGTGCAACCTGCTAATCTTTTACGGCTCAACATCCCAGAAGATAAATCATGCCAGGCTGTCTCAACCTGGTTGGGCCCAAGCCTTGCAATCGCACTGCTGCAGATTTGAAGTTGTCCGTCTCCCTCTCTCGTTCTTGTCTTGTGTCCGGTTGTCCCTGTTTCTCTTGTCCTCTTCCGCAAGCTTTGCCACTTTCTTTTCTGATTTTTGATCGTCCTCCTTCTCTTCATGATCTGCTTCTTGTGTTCTCGACTTGCCGGAGCGAACCTAGAAAGGCCCCCCGCAGCAATGTCACGGAAGACCTGCAAAAACCGAACTCCTTGCTCACAACAAGTTTGCCTTACAGCCTTGCTTTACGAGTTCGAATGGAAAGTCTTTGCAGGAGCGTAACGTTTTTTCGCATGCGCAAGGCACAGCTGTCTGTTGCCCGTCAACAACGACTGCTTTCGAGAGATAACCTCTAAGGATCCTAACTACGCACATGGAGCAGGGTTTCTGGATGAGAACTATCCATCTTTCGCGGTTCTGGCAATTTGGTTGAACCTTACGACAAACAGGAGTGTTGTCCATTCTCATAACAAAGGTGGTTCCGTGTGCTTGCTGTATTTACGATATGTGGGTATACTGAAAAATCCGCTGTGAATATCTGAATATCTGAATGGGAAGGGGGGGCCTGAGGGGATAGTCAATTCGTTGCACCGCCACCGTGAACCATGAGGCATGACTCCGCCCAATGAGGGCGGGGACGACCAGATCTATTCGGAGAGGAGACATGTCTATAGGCGTGCGAGCCCATAAATTGCAGTCGCTGTCGTGAATACAGCTGGGAAAAAGTGGGAACGCGGCGTGTCGAAAAAGCGAGGCCAGCGAGATACTCATTCGAACAGTCCGCGATGGAGGTGTTCATTGTTTTAATTCGTGCTGGCGAAAGCAATGCATTGTCCATGTCATAGGTGAATATGGAAAGAACGCTGGAACGATATACCGTGAGTTTCCAGGAGGTGGAAGAAAGAGCAGAGTGGGAGAAAAAAGGGGGAGGAGTCTGGAGGCTGCAACACAAGAAGGTGCTTGACTTCGTGAGGTCATAATTGTAAGCTGAGCAGAAGCGAAAATCGCAGGGGTTCGAATGGGTGGGCGAGTAATGAATTTTCTGATACTGTAATCGGAGATGTTCGCACTTTTCCTGGCTGAAGGTAAGGCCTCTGGTCTGGCCATGATGCTGTATGAGGTGGAAAAAACGATTAAGCTGTGGTGCTGAGCAGGAAAAAGGGACCGTGTCGTCTGCATACTCTAAGTCCCACAAAGGAGAAGGGACATGAAAAACACCAGATATTTCGCCATAACGGTTTTGGTAGCGTCGTTCAACGTCGAAAAACCGAACAGGTATGGTGAAAGGGGACAGCCCTGGTGGAGCCCTTTGGTTTGAGTTTGCCGGAACGATTTCTGCGAGGAGTCACAAACCGTAGGGAATGCCATAATAACGGCTCTGGTGTTGTCGGGAATTCCAACATGCTCCCTAGCGGCGTTAATCGCTGTAAAAATGACAGAGTCGAATGCCTTGGACCAATCCAAGAAGAGGGTGTTAAAGAAGGAATTCTGCCTTTCAAAAACTTCTAACCCCTACACATAACGTGGATGGGTTGGGTGGTGGAGCGGTTTTTACGGAAGCCGTATAGGGTCGAGCGGAGTCTAGGGTCGGTAAAGGTGGTTTTCCAAGCGAGATTGAAGCATAGATGCGAATACTAGCTAATAATTCGATAAAGAACGCGCATCCTTGTGGTGCTTTTGGACCAGCATAAAAACCAGGAGTCGGGGATAGAGGCTTGGGCATAGCACTGGTTATAGTAGTCCAAGGGACATAGCTTCATACCAAACGGGGCATGTGTATAGAAACACCTGGTATATCGTTTGGGCCGGGCGATTTCGGGGCTTAAATTTGCGGAGAGCGTTGGTGAGCATTGTCTAAATAGGTAGTGTCTAGGTCCTGCATGGTGAAAGGAGAATCGATGGAGGAAGCTTCGGGTTGGGGATGGTAACAGGGACCGGTGAGTCCTGTTGGGAGTCCCAAATGTTTTTGGAGAGATAAATCCGCGACAGTCTTGGCGCATTGGAGGATGAGAGCAACTTGTCGTCAAGTTTGTGGAGACCCGCGGAGGGCGGATTTGACGGGCATGGGTCCATTGTTGGACGGAGTTAACTCGGAGGAGCGGCTTTCTGTTTCTGTTGGCTTCAAGGAGGACTTGTCATTAAACGTGGCGCGCTGGAACCCATCAATGTTTTTTATTGGGCTGCTTGTGGGGGGAATGGGATGAGAGGGAGGTGTTCTTGTATAGATTGTGTGAGGATTTCATCTTGTTCTGCAGTGGCGTTGTTAAAAGCCACATCTGGGGGAGCAAGCACGTCAGCTATTCATTACCAAGAACACCAATATGGGAGGAGACTTTGAGAAGGGTGATGCAATATTTGCACCGTCTCGCGGTAAAGTATTTCTGGGCGATGGTGACCAACTGGTGGTGTGTTGTGGGGAGGGCATCACCCTGCAAAACGGAGAAGGCATACTGAGAATCTGTATCAATCAATAACTAACTGAGAAAGATCAGGGTATGGGCAATGATATAAAAGAAGAAAATCGAACAGCTCGACGCGTGGTGTTCTCTAGATAAGTTCATGTACTCTTCTCAACTGCAGCAAGCTAGCAAAGACACGGACTCATTCTTTTTCACGGGTGCTGCTCAGATGGTCGGTCGCCAGCGGGGCTGCAGCCCCGACAAGCTACATGAACGAGCAATGTTGAACATGAGTGCAAGAAACATACTAGAAAACATTACGATGACAAAACAGAAAAGAGTCACGTGGAGCGTTGTTGGAGCCGGGCAGGTGGAGAGTTTCAGTAGAATTAATTCAACCGGGCTCCGAGAACGCAGCCAGGTGTCATCAACTGGAGGGGGGATGGGTCGGCAGCAGTGGCAACGGCGAACCCCCATCCAGCCAAGTTGCTGTAGGAAACACACGGTTATTGGGGCATGAGCTATCTGCATAAGCTAATAGAAAAGGAGCGCTGACATGCTCTGTTTCAGACTCGTTACCAATGTTGGCCAAAAGAAAGGACTCAATGGACGAATAGACTCAAGGGAGTTGAGTGTAATCGTGTCGGTTCTTGTGGGCGGGGGGTTTGTCTAACCAGTGGGTCTGGATAGTAAAAAAACTTGGTACATGACGCGAATTTACGAACTGTCGGGACTGGGTGCCCTTGAATGACAATGTGTCTCGGAGATGTTATGGCAGGGTAAGGTAGTCCATTGTAGATGAGAGACCAGGTGTCGAAGAGGAGTTCCGAAAAGGTTTGGGCATCCATGTGCTTCTGAAAAATCACTCAGGAATGTGGCGTTGTCCCTTTCGGGTTCCGGTATGGTCTGACGCCTGCCTATGGTGAGACGGTGGATACTAACGTGTGTGCCGGGGGTCAGTATTTACATCAAGGCGGGAATTGCAATCACCCATCAAAAGGAAATACGCTGCACTAGGGTGATTGAGAATAAAGTCCTCGGGATCCACCCAGAATTGGGTTTTTGGTTCACGGTCCGTTTCAGGAGCTTCGACGGTACTAGGTTACTAGGTACAATGTTAACAAGTGTAATGGGGTGGGGGAGGGTATCGACTGTGATCTCGCAGATGCGAGGGGAGTGGGGCTGTAATTCTTTGACCTGAGAGCGAAGGGACGGGGAAACGGAAAAAACGTGTCGCCGGGAGGGCCAGAAATGAGTATCTCCCATCCAGTTATGGTAAAGGTGTAAGAAGAATCCACTTTAGCTACCTGTGCACAAAAGAGAGAGATGTTAGAGTGTTTTTGCAATAGTGGATAATACTGTCACACGGAGTCATTCTACAGGAGATGAGTGGAAGTAGGGAGGGGTACTGTGAGCGACCTCGAAGCAGACTGCGAGCGGTTGCTGGCGAAGTGGTGGAGCTCTGCTTAATGCGTTTCTGGTAATGTTCAACATAAGTCGGCTTCGGGTGCATCGGGTGAAGGATTCTGGCCACCGTGCACCCTCCGGGTGGAATCCTTGGCGGAGCTTCGCCACACCGAAAAAAGGTGCCGGAATTGACGTCGCCTATGTACCCACCTTTGTTAGCGGCACGTCGCCGCCACCCTCTTACTGTATGGAGTTCTCGTCCCCTTTGAGCATAGCGGTGTTGGTAGCTGCCTGGCCTCCTGGGCGATGGGCCATGCTAATACTGTAAGTGTGGCAAACCGCAAGTGTCGGCGCGACCGGTCACTTTCATTCCATTATGTAAATAAAGAGCCTCGCCACGGTTGGGACTGAGGTCTTCTTCATTCGCAATCGGATACTGACGGTCGTTACTGTAGACACTGTGTAAAATAGTTTGCCGGGGACACTAAGGCGAAAGGGGACTCGGGCTGCTTCTTTCCCTCAGGGCTAGCGAAAAATCTGCGCGAAGCGTCACTGCACTCACACACCGTAGCTGGTGACACGTAAGGTGAGACGTATTGAGAAGCCGGCCAGGCCGGCAACGTAAATGTTAGCGAGCAGGGCTCGTCTCATCTTTGTTGGAGCCGTTCCTATAACGACGAGGAGATCGTGATAGCTCGGTTCCGAAAGGAACAACGTACAAGCTTCTATGCTAGTGCCTTTATTGTTCCGGTGTCTACTTAACAGGGAGTGTTTGTCTGATCATTCTTCGGAGAGCTGCACCAATAAGCCGTATAAGACTATCATTTAGAGGTTTCAAATCCTGGTTGGGCTTGGTTTGGACATTGTACATAGCGGTCATCTGGTAGTAGAGGGGATCGAAGTAACAGGAACCTGCGGAGGCCAATCTTCGTAAGTTTTCCTTGGTGTTACGGGCATTGCGCTGAAACAAGTTGAGCATAAGGCCGGAGCTCTCGATGGGTTCCACAAGGTACGTCATGAACTGATCGACTAAATATAATCATCGAGGTCCGATAACATATCATATACTCATTCTTCTACGGCTCAGGCAGGGGAGGGTTCTCCAAGCTCGAAGGCTTTCCCGTATGACTGGCGAAACGTAAAGGTGAGATCTACGTTCTCGACCAGGTT